AGGTGTTGACTAACTCTCTACGAAGGTGATCAAAAGTATACATCCCCATATATCTGGGATTATAGCAGACATAATAAATTTTTCACTTTAAAAGGGATTGTTTCCTTCTGACCTCAAGATAGGAATTGTAAGTCCAATTTTCAAGAAAGGTAATCAATTATGTCTCGGTAATTTTCGCCCAATAACTTTACAGTGTGTGATATGTAAAATAATCGAAAAATGTATTTATACCCAAATGCTTTCCTTTCTCTCAAAATATAATGTCATAACAGAACAGCAAAATGGATTTCTGCCGGGAAAATCAACGGAGAGTGCAACTATTGCGCTTTTTAATTATATTCATTCTTCATTAGATATGAAAAAGTATGTAGGCGCCTTATTTTTCGATCTGTCGAGAGCTTTCGACTCAATCGATACTCATATTACAATTAATAAACTAAGTGAACGGGGTTTCCGTTTGAAATTTCTTTTGTGGCTGGCTTCATATCTTGAGGTCAGAGGTTTCTCCCACATGATTTAGAGGCTGGTGTACCTCAAGGATCGATTCTTGGTCCGCTAATTTTTCTACTATATTTAAATGATCTTCCCAAATACGTCAGCACTGAATGAAACGCCTGAAGAGCTCATTACAAAAATGAATATACTGGCAAAGGAATTTACCACGTAGTGTGGGAAAAATTCTCTGATGGTAAATTCTGCTGGAATAAACATTATTATTGTTATTATTATATCTGAGGGGACTACAAAATAGAAGTTGATGAAAAAATTCACCTTATTTTTTCAACAGATCTCGTATTATTGGAAAGTAATTGAATCATTCTTTCCATGAGGATGATTTTTAAACTTATTTAACAAATGTGCATTTGCATATGATGTGCTTTTATACAATTTTTTTAAGTAACCCCTCCGTGATTTCAGGTGTGTATTTTATTCTGCCCTGTCAGTCAAAAACAAGTAATTTTCGAACGAAAGTCATTTTCTCAAATTGCATCACAGCCGTCGGCAATCAGAAAGATCGCATCGTGCCGCGAATATGATATTACGAAAACTTTTTATCCGTACTTAAGTAGGTAAAATTTCGAAACGTTTCACAAAGAGATATCGGATACATCGAACCAGGCAAATTTAATTGTTCGTAACAGATATATCGAACGTTTTAACATACAATGAGGTTATTCCTTATATAGACGGTACAAGAAAAGAAAATGCTCGTTCCGTAAATTAGATACCACTCGGACTCTGTAGACTATTTTATGCCAGGCTGGAAAGCATTACAAGACACAATAAACATATATTTCAGTTTTAATAGCGTCCCCATTTGGGCATACTTTTTAGGTTATAATAATGCAACGAGAGAGAAGTTAATGATGCGTTGTATAATCGAATTAACTGAGTCATTCGACATACAGACCAGGCCCTATGTCAACATTTCTTTTTTGAATTTGATATTCTATTTATCAAATCTGTTGGAAAAATGTTCCGAAGGATGTTTGTGAATATAGAAAAAATATATATAGCAGTTCCTCTTATACGACCTTCAACAAATGGCAGAATGCGTAACGCTGTTAAAAGTCTATCGAATATTTTTAGAATATTATTTATCTGAGTTTTTTCATAAATGAATTCATTTCATTACATTCGTATTCGAACAAATCAGGAACTCTCCCTGTTATCCCTCCCTTTGTGACTATTTTCATTATTATTCATTTCATGAGTCCCACGTTGGGCGCCGATTTATTGTGAATTGTGTAATAAAAACTTCATTTTTTGTTATTTCCCATATGAATGCGAGTACTTTTAGTTGACTCTTGAACTACGTTAACACACAACTGCATTTTCAATTGATGTTTCAAAGTACCAAGTAATTAATTCAAAAAAATATGTTCTTTAAACCCTTGTTTAAAGAAAAATAACCAGTGGCTTAATTTATACTTACCAATTTATCATCAGGCATACATTCAAAACGTACTCCTTCCAATTTTCATAGAACACTAAAATACAATTCTGAGATGCACAATTTCTGAAAATATAAATTCTATGACCTTCCGATAGCTGTCTCTAAACAGGAAAACGTTACTTGTCACTGCTGTCAAGTCACTGCGTGCAGTGTTGCCTATGTGCGGGTAAATTGTAAAACTCGACTCAAACTTTATAGAGACATACATCACTTCCTAAATGTTTTGTGATGTGACATATTTTACGTATTTTTGTATTTTTCCGCATACTCATATAAAAACGTAAGGAAAGGGTTGTCATTTAATACAGTGCAAAAATGTGTTGTATGTAATTACAGAAAACAAATATGTTCTGTGCTTCAGATGACGTCTAGTTTGTGGCACTCAAGTATTTTTAATTACAATTCATGTGAATCATAAATATAATAATTAGATTACTGATCTGTGTAATAATCACATTGTTGATCAACTATTAATGATAATAATTGCAATTATAATAATGAATATGTAGTTTACTTTTTGTGAATACCTGGTTTTAATGTATTTGATCCAAAACACTTTAGCGATATCTATAAACAAATAACAATGAGTTGCACCAGGATTCCTAATTTTAGCTACACCATTGGTCAAGTTTGAAGAATTGTATTTTCTAATTAATGAGCTGGAACTAGATGTCTCTGTGCAACACAAAATCAGAATGGGGACACATCTCCGTGGTTGCCAGATTCCTCAAATATTCTTTATTTTTACAGATGATGATTTAACAATTTTCACATTTTTTTTTATTTCTAAACGCATTTTGCTAACACCGTAGTGATAGTGTTATTAATTTTCCTAAAAAAACGGGCTAGACCATTCATAATTTTCACATAATAAAAAGCGTATCTGACGTCACACAGACCCTTTGAATCTTTAGAAGTTTGTAAGGTTATGTTTCCTTCATGACATTGTTACGTTATGAATATCATATTCCTTATCCCTGGTATAAAAGTTTTGCATGAATAGGAACATTTAGATTCATTACAACGATTTGTAAAGATAAATAGGTACGTATAGACAGCGAAGTAATTATCAATGAATTTCTACTGTATAATCAACATAATTACAGAACAATCCGACCGCGTAATTCGTTGAAATATTAATCAAACACGTTCTCTTGTCTCCGTTGAATTCTAATTGAAAACATCCATTTTTATATATCGAATAAATTAATTAATCACTCGTTTCCATCTTTGGATTTCGAGATTTGTAAGTGGTCGCAATGTTCGACGGTAATTGCTAGCCTGGGGATCCTCGGTAATATTTCGCCTCTGGTTTTTCTGTTGTTCACGGATCGGAAATCATTGAAGAATCTTGTCGCTGTAAAGGAGGCCATTCACGTGGAAAATTCAACATGTTGCAGAGGGGTCGATAAGTGAAGAATGACGTTCAGTGCTGATTCTTTCAAGCTGTGCTGAATGCTGGATTTGAATAAATATCTTGAAACGAAACTTATTTTGTTTCATCAATATCGGCAGGGAAAATGTGTCTTTTTATAGGTTAAAATTACACCATCCGTGGAATAATGCATGGATAAAAGGCGGCAAATATTATTTTGCCCGGAGCGAAATAGCTGAATCGGGCGCTGCACACAATAGCGCTCGCCATTCACAGTAACGTTCCGACCCATAATCCACACCAAACAGTAACATTTTCGGGATGCATCGGTAGCTATTGCAATGTTTGTGGCTGGTCTTCACTCCAGATGCGCCAATTTTGCTCGTTAACGTATCCATTCAACCAGAAATGAGCCTCGTCGCTGAACACAATTTCTCGATAAAGATGTGGATCTTCCTCCAACTTTGCCAGCACCCATTCACCAAATGTTAGACGTTATGGGTGGTCGTGTGGCTTCAATTCTTGCACCAGTTTTACACCCAAATCCTTACGCAAAATTTTCCACGTAGTGAAGTAACAGAGGCCCAATGCTGCGAACGGCGGCGAATCGACATTTCACGGTCACCACGAACACTGGCGGATACAGCCGCAATATTTTCTTCGGTCCTCACTCTAAGTATGCGTGTTGGTGGTTTAATGTCCAATAATATAAACTGGGTCCGAAACTCGGTCACAAGCTTCCGAATAGCTCCCTCGGTAGGCCGACGAAACTGCCAATAAATTGGAAGAAGTGCACGATGCACTTTGTTCACCGAGCATGTTCATTCGTAAGTCGATCCATGGTTGAAATATAGACAAAACTGAACGATTCACGATTCATGAGTGACCTATCAAAAACAGTTTTACCAAAAAGATACCAGCAAAAAAGTCACTCATTACTTAGACAAAGGACTGATACTCTTACAGTCGAATAACTCGAATAACTGCAACCTAAAAAAGAAAGTCATAATCGGTAGGGCATAAAATCATTTGAAAGTTTGGTAATGACTTGAAAATTACAGGTTACCAGTCTTGATTAATTGTTTGAACGCGACAGTCTTTATAGGGTTGAGAGGTAAAGTGGTATTTGAGGTTTGTCCGACATACTTTGGTAATCGGTTTGGAATTTGCAGTGAATGGTCACCTTTAATTTCGAGTCGACATAAATTGTCGGTTCGGGATTGTGAGAAATTATGGTCATTACTTCAGTAATTTATGATTTGTCATTGTGGGAAAAGTTCTCATTAATTATTACAGCAGTTATCCAGAAAAAAAAGTACTTCGTTAATGTTTCACAAGCTCCTAATCCATCAGTACTAATACTGATGATATTAATGACAGCTGTTTCAACTTGTTCGATTTATGACCGATTTATTTTATAGAAATTCATATTGAATAAAGGATAAAGAAAATAATGTTTGTCTAATTCCTCCTAAGATTTATATTTGTTACTTGTTTGTGCTAGGGATTCGATGAAGTCGACAAAGGAAGGCAAATGCCCGGGTAATTTCGAATTCGTAGGGAAAACTTGGTCCGAAATTAGCTTAACGGCATCACATAGTAATAAGTTTAAAAAAAAGCAATAAAATTAATTTGGAAAAAAGTTAATAGCTTCAATGTATATTCCTTTAGTGTTACCAGAACCCGATGGACCAGTCACCACACTCACAGAAAAAGTATATGTACCCGTTAAAGAACATCCAGACGTAAGTATTGCATTGTTGCTCGGTGAAACATGATTGAACTACGAAATTTGATATTTTTTCGGTTAATAGCGTCAAATTCTATGATCATCAACTTCGTGTTGCGGGTATGACTTGTAAATAAACCCTCGAGCCACCTATATCAAGCATCATGGCCATTCCAAGTCCCACTACACGCTGTGTTACATTCCTTTGTGAAAATGTGCATAATGCAGGATTATTTATGAGATAATATCACCGTATCAAATCGCTTACATAGTTTCGATTGAACAGACTAATAAAAAATCTTACTCAAGCCTTGATGCAAACTTCTTAGAAATGATCGTCGTAAAATCGCACAGATGTCATACCAATTAGGGTAATTACAACTACGGATAGAGATATATTATTCAAACATTTTTATGCGATGAAATACCCGGTCAGCAATGAGAAAAAGTTTTCATTTCTGCGATGATTTATCGAGGAACTTTTGGAAGCTTGCCCAGAAAAAAGTCATATTATTATTGCACCTTGGCAAGTACGTTTTCAACGCATTTAGAATCTTGTAAATGAGACATCTGCTATTGAATAACAAGAGATGACATCATACGTTATATCTCGATTTGAAAAAATGAATAATTTCGGCACACAGGAAACCTACTCGTGGATTTCTATATTGACTCTAGATATTTTCGTTGAAGTTCAAATTTGGTAAATTGAATTATCTTTTCATTCTACCAGTCAAACGCCTTTCTTCTTTATTTGTTATAGCTATTTGCAAGGCGTTGTTTACTGTTTTATTCGCGGCAGCAGTTACAAATAATTTGTTTAGTGCATTTCATCTTGAATAAGAATTGTATAGAATTATTTTTTGGGACCCCATAATTCCACAACATGAGCAGGTGAATACAAACAACAAAACAATAATTGATCTTGCACGCCGCTGGTGGGTTTGGCATTTATTGTATCTGATGACGTCACACCCCTTCGGTTCACTGAACCGCTTCTTCAAATTGTCGTTTTAATTCTTAAAATTGAAAAACATTGAAAATGGGCCCTACTGACATCTTTGCAAAGGAATTTGTCGTTGGTTCTGTTGGCACTATTACAAAATTAAATCAGAATTGAATGCGATGTTGTCAAATTCAAAGATGAGGAATGCCGCCTCAACTTCTGTTATTCAGAATACGCCTTCCAAAATTGATTCCACTTTTGTAGTTTGTATGGCAATTCATGACCATCAACATTTGTAGACACGAAACTCCTCTCATGGATCCTTTACAATAGCCGTACAGATGTCACCACGTTACATTTATTTCAAATTCATTACTATAATTGCTGATTCAACAGAATATATTATAATAGGGGAGTCCAAGCGGGGATTTCGGGTTTTACTGAAGCGCGGCAAATTATATACAGGGGGATACCTTGTANGAAACTAGTAAAGATTCGCAGTATGAGGTCTTGAAAAATTAACATTTCAAAAGTTTTTATTACCAGAAGTGAGTTTCTAAAACAGCTTTCTTTCCAACAGTTTTCAACAAAGTATGTCTAATTAAACGTTTTTCAAAAACTGCTCCAAATAAACAGTTTCGTTAAAATTGAATGATATTTCATTCATCTTTAAATAGCTAAATTTCAATCTGTCTCACTCGGTGGAATCTTGATGAATTTCAGTTGGAGAGCAAAAATTATAAAACATCAAATAGTAAATCAAACAACCAATATTTGAATGTATTTGACTTCACTTTCTTATGGCAGTAATGTTTTCCTTGAGTTATTAGTTCGCATTACGAAGTCAAGATGTCGCCCACACCGTGGTTCACCCGAATATTTTTTAGATTATCAAAAATATGGTATGAAATAGTAGGTACCATTATTTTTCAGTATTGAGGAAGATAACTTGTACCTCTGTTTTGGAATTATCTGAAGATAAATCTTTGTTTCAGTTCAACTTCGTCGGAAGGATCCTCGGCCCGAGAGGCATGACAGCCAAACAGCTAGAACAAGAAACGGGCTGCAAAATAATGGTTAGAGGGAAGGGTTCGATGAGGGACAAAAAGAAGGTGTGTACATTAATTTAGGAGCAATTCTTTTGTTTTAGCGATGTTCGGTTCTAAAACACTTCGATGACAATTCATATAATATTATTGTTACTGTCGTTACGCAATCGCGGCTGTGAGTGTTTGTCTCGCGGTGTGCTTTGCATGCATATCTAATTGAGAGCTTGGTCTTTTGTTTTCACGTGCGATTATCGCATTTGTCATGCTGACGGTATACCAGATTGTTATGTGGAAGAACAGGGTCGGGTTAAGCCCTTGTAAATTTGAATATTCAGAAAGGAGCGTTATAAATGGCCAACGTGATATACAACTTGGTCATGTGTACAAGGTTTAGGCATCCTCAATAAGTATGCCATGTGGGTAAAATTTTTGTATGATGATAAAATATACTTCGAATGAAGGAAAGATATAATTGGAGATCCTACTGTGATTTCTAGAACCATCAAAGGTTGTCATCTGGGAGGGTCTTGTCTTGTCTCTATTGTTGGGGAACTTTTACATACAATGGGGCATGGATGTATGATACTAGACTTTGTAGATAAAAGTCCGTCTAAATAACCATAAAACCATTCACCGAGGGGACCAAGATAGTGTGACCAGGGCTTCTTCTTCGAGATGAACAGAACGAAGATCCTAGATGGGTCTTGAAACTTCATTTAGAAATGATTTTAAAAGGGGGAGGTGGCACTGATGGTCCAATTTTCTTCTCCTTCACCAGGAGAAGAAAATTGGACGATCTAACGGCACTTTCCCTGAATGATGAGGTCAATCCATTTGGAACGCAGGTGAAATATCTTGGCATTGTCCTTGGTGAAAAACTCACCTGGAACGCTCACTTGGAAAACGTTTTACACAAAGCCAGACTGTTCCTATGGATGTGTCGAAGGATTTGTGGTAAAACTTGGGGTTCAGGTATACCAAAAAAATCCATTGGATTCATGTAATGATTGTCAGTACTGTTCCAGAGCAGAGAGGACTGGATTCTCTGGGAGAAGGAAATATTAAGAGCAGATAGTTGTTGGTTCATAGATGGATCAAAAACACCTTCCGGTGCAGGTGTTTTCAGTCGCAGATCCAGGACAGAGATATCAACCTGCCTAGTAACCTATGCGAATATATTTCAAGCGGAAATTAACGCTATTGAATTGTGTGCGGAGAAATTGGAAGAATCCAACCTCATACACAAGTCATTAAAACTATTCTCGGACAGTCAAGCGGCGTTGGAAGATCTTGGCTCCTACCGAGCAACGTCTAAATTGGTAGAATCATCATATATAGAAACTCGGACCGTCGGAAGACAGTGTGTGTCGCTTCTGTTTGGAAAATGATGATACAGCAGAGCACATAATTTGTGCCTGCCCCGCTCGGGACCGAATCAGGTTTTTAGAGTTCGGCAGAGCCGTACTCTTACTATCTGACTTGAAAGACCACTCACCATACAAACTAATCGGCTTCGTTAAGAAGCTGGGTTTATTTGGTCGAGTGTGTGGAGGTTCGAATAGACCCACTCACTTTGGACCTAATCTAACACTTTCGTATAGAATGGATGAGCTATCTCTAGTACGTATTTGACAAAAAAAACTGTTATACAAACAGAACGAAAATCGAATTTGGGACAGGAGCTCAAATCTTCTGTGGGGGGTAGGAAATTACAAAGTAAATACTTAGATGAACTCCAAGAGTTACATCGAGACTGATCTAAAAATGCCATGAAAAACTATAGGAACTGTCAGTCAAAAAAATGTTGACTCTATACTGGGTGTAACGATTCCCAAGCATAAAAAACAGGTGAGTTCACAAATAGGGTTCAAAAACTCTTCATATGTGCCTGAATCAACTGTGGTCCCTTCAGTAAGGGACCAAATCAGGCATGAATCATCAAGAAAACCTATTGAAACTGGGAAATTAGGGACTTCAGTTACAAGCAATACAACAAAGAGACAACTTGTCATGTTCTGTTCAAATATAGAGCTTGGCAAATCTAGCTGTGCCTCTGAATATTGGAAGCACAGTAGATCAGCCAGCGAAGTGGGGCGAGAGCTCGTTAACATCGAGGAACTCGTGTAGTTGCATCATGTTAGTACAGCAAGTGGAGAATCCTTTTTGTGTGGTGAACTGTGAATTATTTATTGTCTTTGATTATTTCGAACAGTAAACTGAAGAACAAGGTTCTCAGTGGACAAAGCTGGGAAGTTGTGAACAACGTATTCTATGTACAACCAGAATATGTCCAGAAGAATATGATAAACACCAAGGAAGGGACCTGTAGACCCTGCTTCAGGGTAAATATTGGTAGAAAGGGTGATGGCAGAAACGTGATATGCCGATGCAGCTGCAGAGTTGTTTTGACTTAACTTCCAGTGGCAAAAAATGAACGGAAAGTGTTTTTGAACAGAAAAAATTGAATCGTTCGATCTAGATGAGGCTGCTGCTTCAATTACTACATAATAAATTATCCCTAAATTATCTATCAAGCTACGTTTCCACTGAAACAATACTAAAACAATGTTTGTCACCTTCTGTTTCTCTTTATTGCTGTATGCAACAACTTTTTGGCAATACATGTTTCCGTTGAAGCAACTAATGACTGGCAGATAATACTTTAATACGGTAGTCTGCAGTTACTTGACGTCACAAGAAAATATATTCTGTGCGTAAAAAATAGGTGACTGTATAGTGTTCACAATTTTTTCAAAATCTCCAGCACCGTGTAGCTTTGATTTTCTCTTCTTTCTTTCATTATCGGTTGATTCTTAACTTTTCAACGACTAATCTTGAATGATATCTGTTTTATTGACATCCACATTGACAGAATCTCAATTTTGAGAAGAGAAATCTATCTCATTGGTCCTAAACATATTATTATATTCGTTAATTTTATTTATTCGGCGAACGCCACAAAAATTGAATTTCGCAAGAGAATGAAGGCTGTATGATTGGTCTATATTTCGAAGATATATTTTTCATAATTTCTTCCCAAAAAAGTTGGTTACCTCTCTTGTAAAAATTAAAATTGCATAATAAAATGTCATCATTACTATTAGTATTTCTGATCGCGTCCTTAACAGCTATTACTCGAACAAATAGTCATTTGTTTGAAGTACTAGGTTATTATAATTTATCTTTCATTTGTTATTTCTGAACATTAATATTTTACGGTATTGTAATCTTTTGTTCCGACGTTTATCAATTACAGAAGTGAGTAGCGAATAAAATATTTATTTTCTTTGTGCAGTCGTTCACGATAAACGATGAAAATAAATTAATATTCTCGAAACATGTCATTAACTCGAAGAAAACATAATCGTAAAGAATCATTATTAGTTAAAGCATTTAGTAACAAAAAATTACAAATTTAAAAGGGGTTCGTGTGGGCGAGTCATTCACGATTTTGTTTATTTTTATGCTGTTTTGGCGACAACTTACTATTGCCAAAATAATTATCCTTCATTCATATTTATTACTCGTGTTTGGGATCAACTGAAGGTGAACAACAAAATTGAATTTTTTGATTCTGTTTGTAAGGATTCGTTCTGCATTCGACTGATCAGTACTTCGGAAAATGTTTTTCACTAACGCGACCACATACAGGGTGATTCTTGACGTGGGCAAGATAGATAGAGAGATTCGGCCGTTACTTGATGAAGATCCATAGTAATTTATCCAAATCGTTGAGGTGTAGTTTATGAAACATAATTGTAGTTAAGTTATAAACATACATATAGATAAACATATAAATGTATAAACAAACATACAAATTTAATTCTAGTTCTAGATAAAATGCAAGTAAAATAGGTTTCACAATAAAATAATTTTGTCCAGGCATCATATAGAATCATATGTGATAATATCAATAATATTTATATAAGTCCAGATAAGATGTGGTTGAAATACATTATATGATAAAAAAATATGAATCACTAGGTTGCATAAAAACAATAAACAAGGAGAGGTAACAAGGACATTTTAAAATAAAGTTGTCAAAAGAAATACGAATATTACTGGAGTTTTTTCCCAACACCAAATCGTATTTAAACATACATAAGGACATATTGTAAATAATAGAAAGGCCAATTGTAAAATTAATTTAGGGTGGTACACTTGTATGGGTGGTATTACTGATTACCTACCTGAATGATGTACCTGATTAGTATAAGTAGCTTTAGTTTTGAGTAGTTATTAGTTTTATATTCCTCTTGAAGATGATCACTTGGTGATCGAAACACGTGTCGAGGTGTGAAAATAACGATTTGGTGTTGGGAAAAAACTGCAGTAATATTCATTACTACACCAAAGGTTCCAAAGAGTATATCACAACAAAAAAAAAAAGAAATACGATCAATCATTGCTTAATTCAAGTGTAAATTCGTCTACTATGTAAAAACCCATTTCTGATAAATAACGTTTGAATTTTTTTTAAGGTATTTGGAGGCAGTCTTCATATGGCAGTAAATTGTACATTCGGATGCCGGCAAATTTAGGAGATTTTTCATATTTTGCGTGATGTTTTCGTCTTATGTTGAATGTATGAAAACAACTAAAATACAAATCATGAAATTATAAAACAATAACAAAAATTAATTGGCGCTCCAGGGCGACTTTATTGATTCCAGTGGCGCATTTGCTTTTTCAGCTGCAGGAAAACCCAGAAAAACCTCCAGCATCACATCATCTGAAGATCTTCATCTGCCAATATGCTCTCTCTCATAAAACAAAATGTAGGGTGTCTCCAGACGCTCCACTAAATTCAATGCATCGCATTGGTGACACGACTATCGTCAAACTTAAACCAGTCCGTTTCGTCTTTGACCAAGGCGTGATAAAATAAATTAAATATTAATCTCAGCAGTGCTTTTTGTTTTATGAAAATCCTGTCTGATCCAGTAGCTAGTCCCCAGACCGGAATGTTATGATACATAATCCAGTAAAATTTGGCATAATAAACTGATCAATTTCAAAAACTACACCTGACGATTTGATCTCCACAAACTTTATTTGAAAAAATATATCACAACATGTTTCGCTAAAACATTAGCTTTTTCAAGTGATTTATACTTCAAAAAGATAATGTTTTAGCGAAACATATCGTGAAATATTTTTTCAAATAAAATTTGTGGAGATCAAATCGTCAGGTGTAGTTTTTGAAATTACTATGCAACTTCATCAAGTAACAGTCGAATCAATCAGAAAAAAAAACTGATATCAGTGGTTCTAAGAACATGCAAGAATGTTCCAGAACATGAACATAACGATTGGAAATTTCAATCAGGTTCTTAGCAACCCATTCAAAAGATACTTGAATTTTGAGAATTATTTCATCAAGATCCGCATTATCGCATTATGTCCTCTTTCATACATTTCATTTGATTGATTACCCACTCAAAGTCTCCTTTCAAACGTGTCAGTTATTTTTTTTTACTGTGGACGATCTGCTACTGATTGATATCGATGTATCATATACAAGCTGTCAGAGTAATTATTTACATATGTCGTCCTATTTTTCACTTGAAAGTTTGCTCAAGCAATTAACTGTTATCTTTCAAAACTTCGCTCGCATTCTCGTATGTCATCCTGGGTAAGCGCCAAGTCGTAGTGTGATGTTTGATAAAAAAATAAATACAACTTAAAAATAGTTTTTTGAGATCTTTTAGAATCCCTTGATCGTGCATTTCAACGGGTTTTTGAAGTAAAGATGGTACATTAGGGTGGACTTCCACCAAACGGACACGCGTGCGACTAGTTTTGTTTTCAAAAACAGAAACAAAAACTTGTAGTTTCTGGAACAAACTTCGATTCCATCAAACAGACAAAAATAAGTATGAGTCGCGTGTTTTGTTTTGAAGTACAGTACAACAGTTTTCATCGTGCCTTCTCAAGACGATATTTTTAATGGCTTGCGGTTTTTTTACAATCGAATATTTTGTGCGAAAGTGAAAAAAAAAACAAAATACTGGATGAGATTATCGTTAAGAAGACGAAGAGATAATGGAACAGATGAAATTATCACAGATTAGATGAATGTTGACATAGGAATTAATCGAACTGAGATCATTATTTCGTAATTTTGTAAGAATATCTATCGCGAATTTAAAAACTACTGGGACCAAGAATTTTCAAACAAAATACAAATTACAGATATGTTATATCTGAGTAGTTGCTTGTTGTTGTCGCCGACCCGTTCCACATAGACTCTGTTTACGAAAACACAGACAAAATACCGAAACTTTTTGATCTTTCCGCCTTCCGACGCGACGGGTTATTTCCTTGTTGACAAAAACAGTCGTCGGTGACACAAAGTCTTCAAATAGTAACGACAATAGTCAGAGTTCAATCCCTATTCGAAGAAAGGAGTTGTTCTTCCACTAAGTTGGAATACGTGATATTTCTCTCTATAAACTTACAAATACATGTTTTCAAAGTAGCTGCATATTTGGAATAACGCAATCGAGAAACATTGAGAATCAAGAGCTGTTGCGCTTGATATTTCTAAGGCCTTTGGCAGTGTTTGGCATGAGGGTTTGCTGGCCAAACTTCGATGCTATGGTTGTCTGATCATTTTTTTTGTATGGCTGTCCAACTTCCTGAAAGAAAGTCCCCTGCAAGTGGCCGTCGATGGCCACTTCACCGAATACTTTCACCATCAACGCTGGTGTTCCCCAGGGATCTATATTGTCTTCAAGCTTTTTTTATTGTATATCAACGACTTATTGGAAAAAACCAATATATTGCTTTGCTGACGACAGCACACTTGTCTCGTCATTCCATTTGGATTCCAGGACATCGGCTACAGAGGCACATCTTCACCGGCAGCAGGAGGTTGCATATCTTAATGAGGATCTAGAAGTGATTTCGAATTAGGGTAAAATCAACCAGGTTCAATTCAATGCCACAAAAACCCAGACATCGGTTTTTTCCAAGAAGATAAATGTCCCCGAACCGGATTTAATAATGTCATGTTAGGCAATTCCGCTTTCTGCTTCGACCTTCTTTGGAGTATTGTTCTCATGTATGGAGCTCCGCCCCCAAGCATACCCTGAAGTTGCTTCACAGACCCAAGGAATATCTTGATTCCGTGGATACATATTCAAATAGCCCATTTTTCTACTGAAACTTCACCAATAAATCCACCTAATGTTCATTTCTCTTTATTTTTCAGGAAGATCAAAACAGAGGAAAACCTAACTGGGAGCACCTCTCAGACGAACTCCACGTACTTCTCACAGTAGAAGATACAGAAAACAGAGCACAAGTCAAATTGCAAAGAGCAGTAGATGAAGTCAAAAAGTTATTGGTTCCGGTAAGTACTGATTTTTTATGGTTTAATTTATGGTAGCTCTCAGCTATGCCAGCCATACCACCAAGCAATAAATATTTATACATATTAGGGTTCTGTATCTGTTCCATGTGGTACACCAAACCATGTCTTCTGTACGTTTCTTGAATGACAAGGTTTTTGAATTTGCTTTTGTAGTCCGAGGTTTTTAGGATCACTGTGTTTCGTTTGTCAGCAGGCAGAATAATGATATTTTCTGTACACCATAAGGTGTACAGGAAGAAAACACACACATATCGATACCTACATAATGGATCCAACCATCATCCAAAACAGAAACGAACGAACACCTGTGTTACAAACGAACGGCTACGATAGAAAAGACATAATCTGCGGTACGTGTCCAAGGGAAAAGGAGAGGAACACCAGTGAAGAGCAACCCCAAGACACTGTCTATCTGCCATACATAGAAGGTGTCATCAACCGAATCGGGAACATTCTGAAGAATGAGAAAATTAACATCGTTTTCAAACCAACGAAGAAAGTATTGGAGTATCTGTGAGATCAGCAAAAGACAGCAGAGATCCACTCAAATCAAATTTATTATGTGAATTGCTGTCAATGTATGGAAATAATCGGAAAACAATTATTTCTTGACGATTGAATAAAAAAGGCTTATGGGTTCGAAATAGAAAGTTTATTTCGAAGAATGTGTTTAGGTGGCTACACACCTAGTTCAGGTTAGGTTAGGTCCACTGCAACCCGCAAGGGTTTATTGCGGCTCACATCTATTCAAACTAGACCAAATGAAACCAGCTTCTTAACGAAGCCGATAAGTTTGTATGGTTAGTAGTATTTCGAGTCAGATGGTAAGAACTTTAAAAACCGGATTAGGTCCCCAGCGGGGCAGGCATAAAGTATGTACTCTGTTGTTTCATCACTTTCCAAACGGAGGCGACACACAATTTCTTCCGACAGTCCAGCTCTCTGCATATGATGATTCAAATGACAGTGACCTGTGAGAAGGCCTGTTAAACATAGTAGTTCATCTTTACTGTAGACCAACAATTGTTTGGTATCAACCAAGGGTGAATAAACGCCTTAGAGTGAGCCAATCCTGGTAGATTCTGCCAGGAGTCCATAAATCTTCTTGCCATCCAGGTGTTCAATCTTTGTTTGGCAAAGCCTAAAGCAATGCCAATGACAGGTTCTGGTCCAATGAAGCTGCTTACAGTCAGCAGCCTCATTGCCTTCCAGGCCAGTATGGCCAGGAATCGAGACCAGAGACAATCTGTTAAGTCTTCCTATCGAGGATAGTCGTTCTTGGTAATTTGCTACCAGTTTGAACGTTTCTCGATAGGAGCCAAGAGCTTTCAACGCCGCTCGACTGTCCGAGAATAATTTTATTGACTTCCAATCTCTCCGCACACAATTCAATATCGTAAATTTCCGCTTGAAATACAGTCGCATAGGTTCTTAGGCAGGTTGATATCTCTGTCCTGGGTCTGCGACTAAAAACACCTGCACCAGAACCGGAAGGTGTTTTTGATCCATCTGTGAACCAACAACTATCTGCTCTTAATATTTTCTTCTCCCGGAGGAGCCAGTCCTATCTACTTGGATTCAGTACTTTATAAGGCAGTTTTTAGTTGACAGTTAGAGGCATTAAGTCAGAGGTCTTTCCAGAATCTTGTGACTTCCAGTGTCAACCAACAGTCACTCTGTATTAAATTGATTTGTGCAATTGGCAACGTGCATAAGTCTACATGCAGTTCATCTATCCTTTCTCTCCAGAAAAATGTGGGAGGAGGTAGATCTAGAAGAATCTTCATGGCCGCCGACGATGTGGTGCCTTCGGCCACCAGGTAATTACACCATATCATTGGTCTGTCTACAAACCTAATTGCTAGCTTGACAAGTATGCGTAATCGATCTTTTTGTACAAGCACGCATGAACGTCTAAGAGACTATTTTGCACATATAAGCATCACGATTGTACAAGCAGCTTGTGGATTGACCAAATTTTAATTATACCTCCTTGAACAGGCAAGATGGGACGTGTGAACCAATTATCAAGTTTAAACTATTCAACTTACGAAATTGTAAACAGAACTCGTAGATGAACATTGGAAGATTTGCAGTTGCAAAAATAAGCAATGTGAAAAAATTTGGAACCGCTGAAAGATTTTAGGGTCACATCAAGTCAACCACGTCTTATGCGTGTCGTATTAAATCAAAAGTTGTCACGATGAAACGAATAGGGAGGCAGCTTTCGAAATTTTACCAGGAAAAAAATTGTAAAAAAATAAACTCCCTCAGGACCATAGAAAAATGCTTCTGATTGCTAAAAATCTTAAGGTTTCTGTCGGTCTTGTATGTAATATTATAACCTAAAATATCTCTCTATTAATTCTTAGGTAGTTTCTCAATCACTCGGACGTATCTTCAGTTCATTTAATAGGTCCATAAGGGAGTAGCTTTTTTTTTCGTTAACTTTTTTTTTGTACCTTATTTCAAGTTCTATTTCTATATTTTCTCACAGATGAAAAAAACACTATCTTGTACAAAAAGATTGATATGCAAGCTTAGCAAACTTCCACCTTTACTCTACATCGAGTTTGTTCTCTACGACTCCATTCAGTTCAAGATGATTGAAAATAAGATGAATAAAATAAGCTGTTCATTCTATTTAATGGGATCGATAAGTTCATAATGCCTGTAGAAATAACATAAACTAATGGATAGTTATGGGAGGATTGCCTCGGGTTCGAAATTAATATTCCATTATAAAACATTTGTAAAGTCGTCTTTATTGAGGAGATAAAAGAGCGAAACCATTTGTTATTCAAGTGTTTGCCTCTAGATCGATTTATATTCATAAAATCGCCTGAAGAATTTCAAATATAGTAATTATTCATCATAACCTGATGTCATCTTGTATTCTTATTTTTCACACACAGGAAAATTCTTGCATATGACCACTGTCCGAGATTTCAAATATAACATTCGATTTCCAGGAACTCCCATAACAACTCTTGCCTTTTCCATTATTTTTAGTGGATAAATGGGAACCCATTAATTAATAAAATTAATTAACGTATTGATTCTGTGCAATCTATTGAAAACACGCAATTAAGAAACAAATATATGGACTCGCTGTTATTAATAATATTTATTGTTCGTTAACAAGCTCTAACAGAAAAAAAACAGAGGAACTCGTTGACCCGAATGGTCGTTTTTTGGTGTATTTCAAATGAATTGCTAATTAGTAAATTTCCATTGATGAATACCAATTGATTAAGGGGAAAGGTATTAGAGAAATTGTACCCATTTATGAGTGAATTGAGCAAATAGAAATCGTACATGACTTTTTAAAAATGCCGTTTGGATTGACCAACACTGACTATAATTACACATTATAACAAGTGTAGTAGAAAAAATACCAGCGTGGTTCAAACAAAACTGGCTGGTATCTCAATCGCCACAAAAGAAATAATCAGGAAAGGAATTTCTGGCAAAAACATAACAATCTGCACTGATAGCAGACAAGCACTATTAGCCTTGAACAGACACCGTGTTACTTCAGGGCTAGCACTAGAGTGCCACCAAGATTTAGCCAAAGCCTCGGTAGATAATAACATTATCCTGAGGTGGATTAAAGGCCACGATAGGAGTTAAGGTAATCGCATTGCCGACTCTTTAGCCAAGGAAGCGGCTGGACTAAAAATTTCAGGACCCAGTGGCACCTACGGGCTGATGACTTCGACAATTGTGAAACCAGCCAAATGTTACACCCATGCTTAATCCCTAAAGAGATGGGATGGAATCAAAGGATGCAATCCTGCCAGGATCACCCTGAGCGACCCTGGGAAGCTGGCGCCGAAGAAATATGTGGCAATGATCAGGAAAAATCTACGCCTGACAGTAGGATTTCTGAATGACCACTGTCAACTAAGGAAACACCTCCATAATATGGGGCTAGTGGACACACCTCTATGCAGGATGTGTGAACAGGAAGATGAGACTGTCAGGCATATCCTGTGCGAGTGCCCGGAGTTATCGTCAATAAGAGAGTGTGTGTTCCGCGAGTCTTAGCATTTGAAGAATAAAAAAGTGCTGGCTCGTCAAGACAATGTGCCCTGTCATAAATCAACGAAAATGATGGCAACATTGCATGAATTGGGCTTCCGCATCTACCGTTTTCTCCAGATCTGGCCCCCAGCGACATTTTCCTATTCTGAGGCTGCGGACATGAAACTCGCGGCCGAGCAATGGCGCTACTGATCGTTTCGTGCGCGTCACTTATACTTTAGATGTTGTTCTATGCATCGCCACCGTTCCGTCGTCGCGTCGCCATCGCTCGGCCGTCGCCATTTTCGTGCCCGCAGCCCGTTGGAAAAAAATTCAGCTTAACGCCGATGAAGAGATAATCGTTGAATTGAGGCTTATTTTGGAGCGTACGAAGTGTTGGACCGCTATAATCGTTGTATTGCCTCGAAGACGACTATATTGAATAATAAAATCAAATTAGAAAAAAAACTGTTAGCCTATGAACTCTCCAGCTCAATTAGTAACTGCGGGGACTAAACATTTATTAAATTCTGAAACCATATTGAGAAAAACATTTAAGTTGGGTGAATAACACTCAATCTGCACAACAACTATATTGTATATTGTATCTGAGTAGTATAAATATAACATTTTTCATCCGGTATTTTTCTCCTTCATTCCAGCAAGCTGATGGTGAAGATGAACTGAAAAAAAGACAGTTGATGGAACTAGCCATAATAAACGGAACGTATAGAGACTCAACATCGAAGGCAGCATCTGTAGCAGGTATGTTATTCTTTATGCTATCCCCAAATTATTTTCATATAAACTCTCAAAGGGACATTATTCGTAAATGTTTCAAACTCAGTTTTTTTATTTCATTGAACTTTTTCACTGAATCACTTTTAAACCTGAATCTATCATTAGGTCGATTTTGATGACAACCTAGTTATCATTTCAGTCGATTGTAAAAAAACTCTGAAAATTTGTTCTGATATAATGAACCCAATTTTTGATACAAATTACTTTGGCTTTCTACCTCTCCATCTTTATTTGAAAAAAATGACAGTGTTCCAATGAACTTTTACCTCTTTTATATGCGATATTGTAGAGAAATCCTGTGAATGATATCTGATTCGATTCCATGAAGAATGTTGANCTTGGGACAAGTTTCACTTCTCAAGGTTATTATCAGTTTATTTATTATTTCCAATGTAAATATTATAAAATGTCATGAATAAACTTTTATTATTATTATCATGAAGTAATACATTCCTCATATATTTGGATCCATTGATTATAGTCTAAGGAATTTTTGATAGAAAATGAAGAATAGATTTAGGTCGATAGCTTTGTTACACTAATGGACGACTTCTATATTTGTGAAATTGTAAACTCTAAACTTTCTCCATATGATGTTTATTTCAGTTCTCAAGAGATTTCAGTAGAAAGAAATGTGACTTCATTAATATTTTCGCAGATGACACTCTTCTCTCAATATCAAAAACTGATTATAACATTACAGTTGGCAAAATTAATGACTCTCTTATTAGCATTAGTTCCTACTTCAATAACAAATTAAATATAGAGAAAACTACATCAATGATTATATCAACACATAAAATTGTAAATGCAAACACAGTTGATTATATACTTAGCATCAATGAAGATAATCAAATTTGTTAAGAAAATTAAATATTTGGGAATTGCTAGACAATAAATAGTATCGTCTTGTTATGCTAATTTCCAATATATGTATGAAGAAACTCACTTTCAGAACTATCAATGCTCTTCAGAATAATTTTCTAGGATGTAAAAATTGAACATTATTTTCAATTACCACGGAATTATTTTCTATAAATTTCAATCCTATTAACTTTTAGCTTGTCGAATAGAAAAAAGTATGATTCTGAAATTCAACTACTATACAAACATAAATTCTATGTTAAGGAGTTTGTAAAGGTTATCTGTAACACAAATATCAAACAGCATAGATGTAAATTCTCAATGACTTAGCGCCGATTTATTTTGATGATTTTATTGTTCTCACTAAATAAATTTATTCTTACGAAACTCGCAGACAAACGTACTAGTGACCAGTTCAATATTTCTCAAGCAAATTAAGTAAATATCATGAAATATGTGTTTTAAAAAAGTTTAAACGATTATAATAAAACTGCCGACCTCCAATTCAATCGTGATTTGCATTAATTGTAGTACATATTATCATTTTTTTCTGGAGTAATATTAACTTTGCATATTATGTATTCCTTTGTCTTGTATCTTTTTACTCTCGTTAAAAAAAGAATTATTTTTATATATTGATATTGGGAATCCCTCACTTCATTAAAAATTACTGTGAACGTTTTGAAACAAAATTCTAATGCATGAATAACTAATTCAAATCCTTCAATGTGCATAGTGATTCAATGAATTTCGAATGACCTTGTAACATATCAAATAAAGGGCTCAAAAAGTATAGCTATTGTTGAGAATAGAAAGACATCTTGAAATAACCTTCACATTCCAGAAAAAACCTACACAGATATTTCCTAGTTTTGTTGGCCATGTTGTGCAGGTTTTATCACTAACGTTTCGTCTACAATTGTGTAGACATTATCGAAGGCGTTGAGGTAATTCAGACAGTGTTCTATTTGACATTGTTTGGGGTTCTGTTGAAACACATGAGAACAGACCAGAAATGGATGGCATCGTGGTGGTAAACTCTTTCACGAAACATTTTCAATCGGAAGAATGGTGAAGAGCGGCTCAACAAATTTTTCAGACATCTGAACACTCTAAATCATGATGGAAGGAGAACCCCAAAAAAACGCCATCTTGGATATACGTGAAAATGGAATATACTGATCCATACGAATCGAAATCCCATACGAAACAAAAGAAAAGGGAACCAAAATGTTATTTTAGAGGTCTCTTTAACTGTGAACAAGAATGTCAAATCGAGAAACTGAAACGTTTGAAGAATGCCTACGTGGGAATTGGGTACAGTGAATGAAGCTGAAATGGAGCAGACAAAACAACTCAGGAAACTGAAACCAGAGAATACCGTCGATGGCGAAACTTTCCTGCCATATATCTGAAATATTACAAACATTTTCTGGAGAATACAACGTAAAATCGACATTATGACCAATAGTCTAATCAACAAGTTCAAAAACATAAAAAATAGAGATAAATGTCCTAAAAGTATGAGCGATAGCTCGTTCGATTCGGAATCACCTCTAGAAAAATGTTTTTGAAGGATTTTGGTGTAGGTAAAAAATTGTTTTTCATTAATAACTCAAAAAATATTAATATTTAAGCAATTTTGAATAAAGCTCGTTAAAGAGGAGGAAATTTCCGATAAAAAGTTCCGACTCCCGAAACTCTATCTCCATTATTTATAATTTTAATTTGACTTCAAATTAAAATTATAAATAATGGAGATAGAGTTTCGGGAGTCGGGACTTTTTTATCGGAAACTTCCTCCTCTTTAACGAGCTTTTTTCAAAATTGCTTAAATATTAATATTTTTTGAGTTATTAACGAAAAACTAAATACCTTTTTTTTAATCTTATTTTGTTAATAACAATTGCAATTTTTTACCTGCAACAAAATCCTTCAAAAACATTTTTCTAGAGGTGACTCCGAATCGAATGAGCTATCGCTCATATTTTTAGGACCTCTATCTCTATTTTTCATGTTTTTGAACTTGTTGATTAGACTACAACGAAAACGATCAGAGAAAGTGAGTGCCTATGGCCAACAAAAACTATAGAGTTGCTGCTGTAGATCTGTCTTGATTGGAACCATATAAAGAAGTGTTCAGAACCATTTCTTTTAACATAAAAGAAATTGATTCGTCTCGGCCGACGAATCTGCAGAAGCCAAACATGCCTGATGCAGGTGCTAGATTTCTGAGCTACTAGCCAAAAACATACAGAGTATTTCAACTGAAAAAAAAGGAAATAATATAAGCCGTATTCGGGTTAGCCGAAACAGTCAATAGTAGTCGCACAGTTGAGACGTTAACAACAGATGTGTAAGTATTTTCAACCGTCCTAGAGTCATTCCAACTGCAAACAAGAATACGTCTATCAAGTTTGTTTAGTCGAACTCAACAACACACACATGAAGCCAATAAACCCAATCAGTAGAAAAGAAGCCACACCAGCCACCGATGAAATAAAGTCGGAGATCCTAACCTCAAGAATTGTAGTATCTGATGTGAAAACATATAGAACACTGTATCTTCTGCCCTTGCTAACGTCTACCGCAGTTATTGACGAAACGTCAAGCATAACCCGCAGACCAGGGCCAACAAACTCGGAAAATAACTTGAACACATTCATCTTCAGATCTTTTATCAAAGTACACGGAGTTTTGCACTTTCAGTGCCCTCACCCGCAGCCTAGAAAAAAATGTTTGCCTTTGTTTTAGCCCGACGGACTTTAATTATCGTTTATTCATTTGTCAGCAGAATTTTTCATTCCAGCCTGCGATGAGGAATGGAGGCGGTTGGCTGCCTCCGCGGTAGAAACGCAGCGGCTCCTATCTCCCGGCATCCCCGGCCTAACGACGACGCTCAGGACGCAAGGGACGCCTCTCGGAGCGCCGCTCATCCTCTCCCCCAGGATGTCCGTCCCGACGACGGCCGCCTCCATCTTGAACGGCTCCGCTCCCCCCGGCTCTCTGCTCTCGCCCGGGGATCCCCACGGACTCATCTACACCCCATACGCAGACTATACCAACTACCTGGCCGCTTCCCCCCTCTTGACGGAATACGCCACTGCGGACCATTCGGGTGGGTTGTTCGCCCGTTGACTATACGGGTGGTAGATTTTTTTAGTACTTAGACACGATTTTTTTGGTTTTGTCAGGAGGCGGTCCCCAGGAGAGACATAAGTGAGTGGATTAGTATAAGGTTGATTCGTTGAATGCGGTTTGGTGTGGTTGGAAAACCTAAAAAATAAGGCTGGTATAAGTATTAAAAATACAGTAGAACCCCGGTTATCCAAGGATAAATGAAAACTCGAATAATCCGGATTTATTTATTATTCGCCCAATAAAACATTATTTATGTTCCTAGATATGTGGAATCGCAACCCTCTAATGGTCGCATTACCTCTAACAAACTTTTTTCTTCTTCCTTGATTTTATCTGTCTCATTGACAGAACCGGGATTTTCAAGAAGCCAAATCATTCAATGGAATATCTTCTTCACTTTCATAAGAGTCCTTAGAGTCAATAACTTTTGAACAAGATGTTTGAATAGTGGAAGCGCGCACAGAATCCCAAGCTTGACTCACCCAGTACATAACATCGGTTAATCCGTAGCTCGGTTAAACGCGACTCGGATAAACAGGATTCTACTGTACCATGACCCAATATTCTGATGTGTTAGTTAAAAACGTGAAATTATATCGAAAATTGTGATGAATCATCGATGAGTACGAAAATCAAAAATATAAAAACGCCAGTTTGTAATGAAAATAGATGTTTGACCTGAAAATAAATAGGTTAAAACAGTAAGTGAAATATCAACAGTATACAGATAATAAAAAATGCATAGATAATTTAATAAAGAGAAATTATAAAAACATTTAAAAAATTATTCAAGTCAAGCTACTTCACGACGTTTTGATTGTTTGTATCCATTGCAAGACAGTAGCCGATTGGTTAGCGTTAGCAACTGTTATGAGGACGATGGTTCGAGCCAAACTGTTGGACGGTCGATTTTCACTGTTACAATGTGTTATTTACACAACACACAAAATATGTATTGAAAATTTTCCCTTTAAACAAAATCAGTTTGGGGTTTGTTCCTATCAGCGGTTAACGTACAATTAACAGCAAGTTCTTAAGCGGATGTAAGTAAGCGCAGTAGGCGATGTAAAAATTATTGAAACCAATGTATCAAGTGTCGCCAACTGCACCCAAAACACAACCGCTGCAAACATTGCTGCAATTTGACATTAACCGGACCAAACATCAATTGAGAATAATTCAGTTCTAGGTTTGATTCCACACCAAATCAGCATAAAACATCAGTCTTCAGGTTCGAAGCCAGGGTTACTATTTCTCTTGAATGATACTCATCTAGGCTTCTTGAAATATAAGTCAGACAAGAGAAACGTTTTCTTCTTCAGATAAGCCAGCTGAGAAGATAAAAATTGCAGAAATTTGCTCTGGCTCTCGGAGTAGAATACGAATTGATTCAATTATTTCTCATTTCAATGATTATGGGGACCGACCGACCAGGGCTGTGCATCTGAGTGAGGAATTTTTCAAAACACAGATTTTTTTTTCCGGAAACTTAAGCTTTCACAATAAATTTTCCAATAGTTTGTTTGCACAGCCTTGAAATATGTAGTTTTTTGTTATTGATAGAAATCTACGGTTCTGTCTGTCGAGTTATCGGACGTGGATAGTTGTATGGAATTTTTGAAAGAAATTGCGTACTCTTACTCATGACCCAGTTAGTTGTTTAATTGTCTTTTCTAGCAATTCTTGTACCGCATCAACCTTTCGAAAATCAAATTTCAAATCGATGGTTATTTTAGTCACAATTTATTTTATTAAAATATTTTGTATTTCTGTGATACTTAACCACTAGGCAGGTTATCTGATACGTATCAAAGCAGTACGTAATAATCTGAAAAAAAAAACATTTTTCTCTTCAATTTTCTTGCAAGTCATAGTAACTAAGTTTAGTTTTCTATTTTTATTTATAGATTTTATCAAGACTATTTCGTCGTACGTATAACGTACTCATGGTCGTGTGAGCAATAGTCACTGTTTCTCTTTTTTTAAGTTTATAGTATATATATGAAAAATAGTTTCCGTTATGAACAACATATATTTTATATTACTGTACATATTTTTATCTTTATGGATTTGAGCCAATTTGGAATTTCTCTGAATGTTTGCATTTATACAGTTACCTTAAGATATTTATTTCAAACTAAGGAAATGAAATTAGAATATTTGACTTTTTTTTTTTCTATCGAATAGTAGTGTCGAATCAAATCATTACGACTCAATGCTTTAATTGTTTTTAGTAGCTACAAAGTAGTATCTCATAGGTTTAGGTGAAATTTTAGATTACGAGCGGTTTTGAGAACTGACCACAGCACAAAAACGGTTTTTTCTCTTCAAAAATGTTGTGAACCTCTGTGTAAACGTCTTCAATTACTACCTCCATTGAAAGAAAATTCACCACTACACAATATTTTTCTCATATTCAGTGTCACTCAAACATGCCGTTAGAAAAAGAAATCTTTCAGTCTTTCAGTGAATCGCCAGATATTCTGTCGAGCCATAAAAAATATCTTGGAAAACATTGCAACCCTTTCTGATCGCCGAGACATCATGTATTCCAAGTCTGAAACAAAATGGGCTCTTCTCAACATTCAGCTATAAAAACAAATTCTTTTAGGATTTCCATTCTTCCTCTTTCTGGAAGCCCTCTACCTTGTCCATTTCTCCCAGCTTCATGAGCTTTTTGCGTTTTCCTCCCGTCTATTTATGGCAAGACAATTCCCTACCAGAATGTGGAGGTCTCTTGTTAGACGTATGTCATATTTTTCTGGACATAATTTGGGTTGTCTTTGAATTAGTTGCCTTTTGTGCACCAAAGCCTCACATTCGAGTTGTCTCTGTCCCTTTGTTGCATTGTCTGCAGCTGAGGTGTCCGTTGTACAGCCCTATTTTGTTCAATTATCCTCTTAATGTACAGTGAAGATTACGTAGTGTCATCATTATTGATTATTTCTTTCATGCGAAATAGAAGGAGGCCAGAAACAGCTCCTTGCGCGACTCTGCATTTTATTTTCTGAAACAACCTCGAAAGCAATTCCGTTTTTGTGCAGTTTGTTCCCAAGAACGTCTGTTTTTGACTACTTAGCGATTATTCTTGATTTTTTTCCATGAAATGGGAGACTGCATTGTGTTAGATGACATATATGAACTGTGTGATGCTCTGTATAGGTGCGGCAGCTGTGGCTGCGAAACAGCGACAGCGTATGGGACAAATAAGGGAGCATCCGTACCAAAGAGCGGGTGCGCTCTCATAAACCCTAAATCTGACAAGGTTAGTTGACTGTTTTTCTATTTTATTTCAGATACTCGTCCCTATGAGAATCAATGTGGTCTATATACTATATATCTACTCTAATTTTATACTCTTACATCATATTTATCAATTTAGTTAGTGTAGTTGAGAGATTACGCGTCGTGCTATTTTACCGGTGAAAATTTAGCAGTTTTATCAGTATTGAGTGTATATTTTTATGCGGGTTGTGAAAAAGCACTCTTCGTACGTACAATGTTTTATCGTCGAAAGGAGATCTGCTAAATTCATAGGGAAAGAAGGATTAGTTCTATGACAATTTTAGGTTACCATAGATAGGTTTCAAGCTTGATCCTCACGAAAATCAGTAACATTTTCATTTGCTATTCTGTTTCTGATTATCTAATTTTTTTTACTATCTTTGTATTCATCAATATATTATCATTTACCTATGTACATGTGGAACAATTTTATTCTCAAAACACTCGACAAGAAATGAAAATAATCAGCTGAAACTGTAGTTCATATGTTGTCACACCCAGTCTCCTGAAATAAAGGTAGTTTCTGGGTTTCATCTCGAAACATAGAGAAGATACTCATTGAAGATACACCATCCACCATTTTACTTAATCAGTTTTCTGTCAAGGCATTGGAAAACGAAAATTTCTTGATCCTAATATTTTACTTTGAAAAATGGTATTGACATAAAGAAAATTTGAAATTTAAAGATAGTTGAAAATGTTTCGGATTTTCGTGGAACTCGCTTCGAAACGAGACAACTCTAGACTTAGGTCCTTATTTATATTTACGTTGTACCTCACTAAACGTCACATCACACGTGATAACTAGTCTAAAAAAATTTATATACATATTTTTTATATTTTTACATATTTTTATTTATTTGAGAGTAATTTTTTATCTAGGAGTGTGGTCCTTCTTTCCTTCACATATTATCGAACAAAATAAATGTTTTATCATTGCGGCATTTTACAACAACGTATGTTGGTTTTATTGTTATAGGAACTCGTGGAGTCTGCGCGAATCTCTCATACCGCGATTTCACGAGCTAAAGTTAGGACAGGGTTCTGGAATGGAGCTTGTTAGTTCGTCATTCTGCTCTTATTATCACTAAGAAGTGAAAATTCAACAGTCCACAACCTAATCCCACAATGTTGTGTTAAGATATTTGTGGTTCTGTAACTACAATTTTTTATGGAATAGGAAGGGCCTCTTATTGACTTATTGAAAAAAATACAAAAATCAATGCATTTTCCAAAATCTGAAAAATAAATAAAGCAAACTCAACAGAGAATCTGTTAAAGTATAATGAAGGGCAAACTCAAAATTTCTCCCTGAAAATTATTGAAGAGTTGAATTAGTCTGAAATTTATCATTTTAAAATATTTCACCAACAAATTAGATAATGAATGGAAAATGGAATGTATATTTCTTCAAGTTGTATATTTTGGAATGTAAGCCGCTTCCGTTCTCAAAACTTGGGGGGTAAACTTGGGGGGTAAAAAAACAAAACAAAAACAATGAAAAACATTGAGGCCTCAACAAAAAAAATAGGTCTCAAAGAATAAATTCGAAATTTAGTATTTCATTCTCTTCATTTTCATTTAGGCAAAATTTATGGATAAAATTGTGTCTTTTTTGTTCAAAAAATAATTTCTCTTATAGTTTTTTTCAACTTTTACACTAGTACAGATTTTCTGCTGATTTTTCTTTTTTTTTAATTTGTGTGAGGCTTTGAATCTGAAAAGTTGATACATGGAAATGTTGGATTCATCCTAAACTGCAGATATTTTGGAAAAAAATAAAACACCAACGAAAACACATATTTTTCAAAACCCAAATATTAACATTTTGAGGCTTATTATCTTTAAACACGCTGAGATCTGAATAAGCGAAACGTTGCAAAGAAGCAATTCCAATTGATTGATCATTGGAGGTTAAGTTGTGGAATATAATTTTGAGCAAATCTATCGGGCTGATTCTGGGACCTTGATTTTAAGTAGTTTTATATACCTTTATATAGTATATATTTTTTGTATGTTGTTTTGTTGACTTGCGCCAATGTGGAACAAAATATATTTATACGAAATTGAGATTTTATTTTATTTTAACTTCCCTATCAAGGGTAAAACTCACGATGTCTTCCGTATATCACCTGACCACGAGAGTAAATGGTAAGGTGCTATCGTGACGATTTGCCGGTGTCTAATTCTCTTTATTTTGATTTAATCACAATTTTTTAGTATTAACTTTGCATTTTTAACACTCACAGTAATCATAACTTTCTAATTCCACAAATTTGGCCAAGTTCACTAATTCTATGAATGGATGATGATATAATATAACGTATGATTGTGTTCCATATAGCACTATATTAAAATTGCATTAACCTTTTTTTTGTACAGTACTTAATATAACATTGCCTTTTCTAATATACAACAGATTCTCTCTATAGAACTTTCGAAAATCATAGAAAAAGTTCTCCTGAAAAAATCAAATAAATTTCAACTCATTTGGTGTTTATTTTTTCTAAGATTTTTGGTTTTCACTGGCTGCCTCACGAAGACTTTTGAAACTCTCGCACGCATTTTTTTAATATAGTTTCTAATATAGAACACTATCACCACTTTTGCTGCCTAGGTTATATTGTATACTCACATGTATGTACAATTTGCTCTAATTAATCTCGGTGTCATTCATTTCTATTCGAATTTGCAGCGTGCATGTTTTCACTTCCCCGTGGATTTTCGAAAATTATATTATTTTTCCTTACCTGTCTTATTTTCTGCTATTTGGGAAATAGTTCGATTAGCTTGATATCACTTCTCAAGTCAATCGAACTAAATATATTCTTAACACTGGGTTTGTTCTAACAATATCAAAACAAGTTTTGAAGCAGTCTTGTTCAAAATAACATTAAAACGTTGAAATAAATATTTCGTAACAAAATCTCAAAACATCTATCTCTCCCAAAGTACCTACACCGTAGATTTTGGTAAAGAGGTCATAACTGGTGACGAATCAGAGTTATATGGTTATGACATCGAAACCAAAGTCCAGTCGTCCCAATGGAGACCAAAAAGCACGCCAAGTTCGATCAAATTTTGGCGGTGGCATAGTGCATCAGTAGTTTTCACCACATGGTTGTACGGTCAATAAGGAGTATTATCTCGAAGTTATGCGCCACTTACGAGAAGCAATACGAAGAACATGTTTAGAAGGTATTGTGGAATAACAATTGTTGGTTTTTCCATCACGATAATGCACCTGCTCACTCGTCATTGCTTGTTCGTAATTTTTTGCCCAAAAACAACACCGTAGTCACGTCTCAGCCACCATATTCACCAGATTTGGCCCTCTTTGACTTTTTCCTGTTCTCAAGATTGAAGATACCCATGAAAGGACGGCGTTTGGCGACGATTGAAGAGATTGAGAGCTTAAGGACATACCAAAAAGTGCATATCAGAACTGCTTCCGGGATTGGAAAAAACGCTGGCATGAAGTGTATTATATCTGAGAAGAACTACTTTGGAGGGAGCAAAATAAAAAATCGATGACTGAATAAATACTTTTTGAGAAAAATAAACAGACTTCGATTTTTTTTAAAACGAGTCATTACATTATAAAACGAGTCATTGTTCATCATACATTTCTCTATAAAAAAATATCTTGCACTTTGTGGATGTCATCTTTTCTCAAAAAATAGAATAATAATAGTAACTTACATCCCGAGTGCTCCAAGTTTAATCAGTGAAAATATAAGTGAATTATTTTCGAAATGTTGCCAAGAAAATGACTCAAGTATATAATAATTTGATAAAGCTTTATCGTAAATGATTATACACGAAATCATTTACTTGAAGGCAAAATTTTTGAAATTATGGGATTGTATGCATTTTGATGGATTGAACTTGGTGTACCGAGGGATATAGGTACGATACGGACGTGAATTGCCGTGCTCTTAACTCTTTTTAAATCTTGGACTTTATAGGGGTTTTTCTCCACGATGAAATAGAGATATATGGAATCTTAGCCGACCATTTTTACATGGTATTGGACAAGTCAATACAAGGTGATGATACTATGGCTATACTATATGTAGAATCAAAAATAAAATGGTGGTCAATGCCGGTACATCAGGAAACATTAATAAAAATAATACAAAGATATAAAATTACTCCTAATATTACAAAAAGCCATTCATAGTATAAAAACATCTTTCGATGAGGTATTTTCCAACTTTTTTCTACATTTTCAATACACTATTGACTTTCTTCAAAACTTGTCTAACCCACAAAAGATGATATGATTACTCTTTCATCTGATATCAAAACGTCGATTATATATTTATTGTTCACGTTAAGAAGAGAATGACGTCACAAGATATGAAGTTACGGCGTTGCCAACATGTGCACTATTTCGAACTTTCAAATTTTTTTGTACTGTTGATATGTTTTATTCCTATTATCCTTACTTACTATTAGTATTTGTTGGGACTATTTCGACAATGCTTTAGGCATAAATATTGAATATACGCAGGTCTTATCAAAAGAAATGATTAATTCTGAAAAGAAAGACTGACAGTTTTCGAGTTTTTTTCGATTCGGCAACATCTGAAATTATACTATCAGTTGAGCAACTTATAAAATGAAATGTTACCAGTTTCATTGCTGTTGAACGCATTTCAGTGGGAATTTTAACGTTATGTTGGATATACAAAATTAACAAAAATGACGTCATTCTCTTCTTAAGGTGAACAGCCTATAGGTAGGTACGAATTTTAAGAAACATATGAACAGCAACAAGAATGACACCGAGACCCTAATATTTGAAATTGTGCCCGTGGTATAGCTACAACAAAATACTAACAAACTGTTTTTTCTTTTCTTTTCTTGTTAACTCGGTTGGCCGGCCTTAGGCTTTGTGGAGTGCTAACCCCCACGTCACATCCCTGCGCCACTCCTTCGACTAACGAAAAAATTCAGAAGCGCCAGTCCACCTTCCAGGGTAGCGGTACGTCTAACATTACATCACTAACCTCAAAAAGAACTTTTTTTGTCATCGTGCATTTGTGTACTAAAAAAAAGAATGTCGCGAATTGTTCACGTAACCTCATTTTAGATGTTAAGCGCCTGGAATATTAGACGCTTTGTTGTATGATTAGAACTGATCGCAAAAGATTAGATAAATACTTTTATGAGTATATAATTTCTTCATTAATTAGTTTACACAACTCACAATAACTGTTTATCAATAGCTCTTGCAATTTTTTTCAAAATAAATATCACTCTTGTTATGAGGATATAACTTTTCAGTGCCGTAAATTTGTATTGATCTCACAGATAATTTATCTATAAACTTCTTTAAGTTTGAAGTTTTTTTCAGGGTGATGAAAAACTGAAATCATGAAAAATGATCTCCTAGTAGCAATTACATCCGTCAATTTATTAAATTCTTTGTGATCTAGGAAAAGTTGATTCACCTGCTCTCATTGATTATCAAATTGAACAGCAATTGGGAGTAATTTTTGAAACCAATATTATTATTATTCTCTGCTCATTCAGCGTTTGGTTTGTTTATATATTCATCTTGTTTATTGAATTTCATTGATTTAAATTTTGTCGAAGGTTCTGTTCTTGTTTTTTGATCGATTTATCAAAGCTTCATAATTCCATGGCGTTTAACATATTGAATATGACTGGAAATGAATCCTATTTTAAATTTTTTAATGATAATAATTTAATTTCATTATTCTATGTTTTATTTCCTAATTTTTAAAAATATCGGATTCATTTTCAGTCTAAAAATTGTAGTCAGTAGTTAAGATAGCATTTACCTGTTTAAAACATTAATTTACTAATACTTTCAACTGTTTTTTTCTGTGAAGTACAAACCATTTTTGTGAGTGCCAAAAAATATTGAGATGCATTGATGCATTCCTTGGAAGATTAAGGAATTTATTGAGTGAGTAATAAATTCTGCCAGAAAAATTCAAGAATTTTAGAAACAGTTGATATTCGAAACTTTTCATTAAATCTGTACTTATTGAATTTTTCTGAGCAGACTTGCGTGCTCTTCGAAGAATTGGTAAGGTAGGTAATTTTTTAAGTTACTTAAAAATAGTTTATTCAATGCGAAGCTTGTTCTAAATTGTTTTACATGGAGATTTTTGGAAACGATATTTTCAATTAGTATTTCAAGTTCATAATTTTTTTAATTGTATAACATCATTTAGATCAAGACTCCAAAATTTGAACAAATTATTGTCATTTAGTTTATATAAATCGTATAAATATAAAAAAATATATATTACTGGTTTGAACATGATATAAATATCTTGAATTGTTTCATATAAGTGATATAACAAAAAAAAACTCCATTACCTCAAATACTTTGAACGTTTCAAATCAATAAATAGATACTAGCCATTGATTCAAGAATCATGTATGTTGTTGCTAGATACCACCTCGAGTTCTTTATTAAAAAACAATCAGTAGAAATAATATTATTCCAAAGCAATTGAAAGATTCAATTTTCTAAGTGCCTTATTGGGATTGTGAATCAATTAGTCCTATCGTGCACATTAACATTTAATGAAAATATATTCAGAAGTTCACACTTTGATTAGCTCCTTCGATTTTGATGATAGATAAAGATGGTTACAGAAGAATCTCTTGAAACGAGACAAAAGTTATGCAGTTGTTTGAAATCATGAAGACATTCGCTGGCAGTCAGATGAGTTTTTTGAAAACTAGTTCAAGAAAATACTGTTGTAAGTGTGAACAACTGAATCATCCAGCACAGTGCCTTAGTCTCGAAGTTATTTGAGGTGATAAATCTCGTTAACTTCCGTCCGAATATCGAATAAAAATACCAAGAGCAATAATTTAAATGAAGAACTAATACTCTGATAAATAATTTGGACGTGTGCAATAAAACAAATCTTTATATATTGAAGCTGTGTGCAATTTGTTGATAATCTCGGACATTTATGAAAAAGAAATCTCTTATACCGTTTGTTGTACTTAGAATAGAAGAGTATATATAATATCTGAAGTTGCATGTTGAAATAGTTCCTAGTGGAAAGTTTCAAAATGCAACCTTGTTTGCGTGTCGTATAATGAAGTTTAATGGCATTATTTGTTAAAAAGGTAGCTTATTTACCTATCAATATCAAATAAATATAATTATGTTAAGGTAATTATTTATGTGTCATATTAATAATATTTAATGTTATCTGTTGTAATTTTTTTGAAAAGGCCTCGAATAGAGTGGGTTATTTTGAAATATATTGAGATTATGGTATGTATTATTGTGCATAAATTTAATAAATATGTCTAATAAGTGTTGAAAAGCCTTTTATTTGTGATCTTCTGGATTCAAAATGACAGAAACAAAATTTATTTTTTTGACTTGCGATTGAATGATGTCCATAGCAAAAACTTGAAAAATCAAAATTTTGAAAATAAATGTTGGAACAGAAGACATTTGAGAAACCTGCATACAAAAAAATGTACAACGAGTGATCACTTGAAATCATCTGCTAAAAAATTGGACTGTGTGAGGGGATGGAACTTACTATCATCCCTAATTGATCTGTTTCTGTGACTTTGTACAACATTGTACAGTAACTTTTACCGTAGAAGTATGTTATAACTAGTAGGATCATTTATACGTGAAGAAACTGTATATTAAAACTACCTGACTGACAAATTTGTGTATGGATTCTACAAGACTGAAAGAAAACCAAATCGAATGAAAGAAATCTAATGGCGCATTTACACGAGTCGAGTTTGTTCAAACGACTTTAGTTGATAAACAATAGTTGAACGAAAAACCTAGTGAGAACCTTTGTTTCAATCAAGTTGATTAACTTTCTAGCGGATCAACAAAAGGTTGACAGAGTCAAGTTATGAGTTGTCTGTCAAATCATTTCAAGTTGAAATATGTCCACGATTTTCACACACATTAACAATTATTGTTTTCAGTTATCATTTTAACAAAACACTTGAGGTACTTACAATTTCACGAACAACAGCTTTCAACTAAATTACATTAAACTGAATTGAAAATGAAATGTATCGAAACATTATGTGTTGAACTAAAATTAATTTTTTGTCATATTCAACTCCAAACTTGACTCGTCAGAACACGCCTTGAGTTGTAACCTATCTAAGTCTACATTGGAGGAAAACATGAAAAAATTCAATTATGAACGTGACTGTTTGACCAACAAGAAAAATCGCATTCAAGTATCACTTTATCCTGAGATTTTCACTAAACAGTTCACAAAACTGCAAACATGTGTCTTATTTATTATACATAGGCGTGTTCATAAGCCTGAGGATGCTATTGTATAATGAAAAACGTGTTGCAATTTGTGAACTGTGAATTTTTTTAGATGTAATCTGGCGTCTCAGTAGAAGAAAAGCTAAGCTAAGTGCCATTTTTTCTAGTATGTTTATCTCCGAAACTATCTTAAACACAAAGTTCAGAAACATAAATTGTGGAAAATTTCATTCTCTATAACATTAGGCAGAGCTTTTTGTAACTCCCTTTTTTGTCTCTGTAGGAAACAAGTTTGTCTATACCAGAACACCGAATAAATGTTTACTGGCCTCTTTCTTCTGTCATTCTGTTAATACTGTTTACCGTTTTGAATCGTCCAAAATCAGTGAGTCAGTTATGGACTGAAAAGATTAACGCGACAAAATGTTCAGTATTCAGTTGGGACACTGTTTTTATTTCCAGTAGGACAATAAAATTGTGTAGGAAGATTGTTTTACATGGAGATTTTTGGAAACGATATTTTTTGTCAAAGTTTGACAATTCATACACTTCTCAACAAGTGAAAAATAGATGTAAACTGCTTGGCAGAAAAAAATTCATGAAAAATTAAATGGGTGATTTGCAGTAATGTAGAATATTAAGAAATGCTTTGGATTTGTTATTCAAATTGTTTCATGTTTTTACTCCCTCCTTGTCTGTTTGGTTACCGAGGAGTTAAAGGGTTTTGCAACTTCAAACATAACTCAGAACTGGATAAAATGCAATATTTTGTAACATTGACGATTATCAATGCAATTCAAGGCGCATCCAAAAACTTTCCTTTACTATTCGATCATGTGCTCTGTAATTTATTACAGAGCACAGACCTAGTAGTAGGTCTACTGGGTCTTTTAGTATTCTACTGTGATAGAACAACATGTAAAAAATGGAAATATCCAATAGCACCTAGGCCTTTAGTGTAAAGCCGCAGAAAAAGCTATACCCAAATACCCCGGCAAAGATAAATCAAAGAAGAAAACTGGTAAAATCTGGTGGAATGATGAATGTGATAGGGCATGTAAGAAAAGGAAAGAACTGTATATCAAATACAGAGATGAACTGTGTATTGAAAATCTCAGTAACTACAAAAAGCAAGATGCGATGGTGAAAAAAATAACAAATAAAGCTAAACGAGACAGCTGGAAACATTTTTGTTCATCGCTGAACAGAAATAATAATATGAAAAAATTTGGAATAAAGTTAATAGTTTCAAAAACCAGAAACCAAGTAATAGAAATCCAATAGTCGAAGAAGGGTGGATAGATTTTCATAACAAAATTGCACCAGCCTGGGTGAACCTCTTGATATAATTTGATTAAAGCTATATAAACAACGGAATACAGAAACCGTTCACTCTCATGGAACTAAATATAGCTCTTCGTCAACATAACAATTCAGCTCCAGAAAAGGATAACATTCATTACTCCATGATTGCGGAACTGCCAATTGAAATGAAACAGAAATTACTATCTATTTTTAATAGAATATGGAGTGGGCAAATAGAAATCCCACAGGAATGGCACGAGTATATAGTGGTACCTATACTCAAACCAAAAAAACCCGAGAATCAAGTCGACAACTATAGACCAATCACTCTTGCTTCATGCGTCATGAAAACATATGAAAGACTTATAAAAAACAGAATTGAAAGGTGGTTAGAATCGAACAAACTCATTCCGCATAATCAATATGGCTTCAGGAAAAAAAGATGTAGTCAGGAAGCAGTTGCAAATCTTATAATAGACGCAAACTTAGCATTTATCAAAGGAAATTCCATATCAGTATTATTTTTAGATATACAAGGGGCATACGATGATGTGAATATGGATATTTTAAAAGGCAAGATGGAACAAAGGGATTATCCTCACATTATTACAAAAAATATATCGAACCTATATCTTGTCAGGAAAATATATATTAAAATTAATGAAAACATAGTAGGACCGTGCTATACTCAAGTAGGATTACCACAAGGCAGTATTTTGACCCCTTTACTATTCATCATCTACACTGCAGATATAAACCATTCTTTGTCTATGTCAACCAAACTCATTAAATTTGCGGATGACTTCTGTTTCTACAGCGAAGGAAAAAATATAGAGCAATCTTTACAAGAACTCGACTTAAACATGAATATAGTTGGAGAATACATTAAAGATCTTGGAATGCAAGTTTCACATGAAAAATCAGCAACGTGATCCATCAGTATCAATAGGACCATACATTTTACCATACAAAAGTTCAGTAAGATATTTAGGAATTGTAATAGATAAGAAATTGAGTTGGAAAGAACATATACAAACTATTACAGTAAGAGCTGAAAAAAGTTTGAACATTATAAAAGCATTTTGTAAAAATAAATGGGGGTGCTGATCCGAATACTGCTTTAACATTTTATAAAACCCTGATAAGGTCCATTTTGGATTACGGGAGTATTTTTTACGGTAATGCATCAAAAACTAATTTGAAAAAAGTTGAGAACATAAAAAATAGAAGCCTGAGATTATGCTTAGGATTACTCAACAGCATACTCATCTCAGCCCTTGAATCGGAAGCAGTAGGACCACCACTACATCTACGTAGACAACTACTCAGCCGCAAATTCATCTCTAAATTTTACGCCAAGAAAAGTGATCTATTATTCAAATTATATGACTTGAGCATTTTGGGACTGACCAATAAATATTGGCGTTAGAAAGTTTTGCCACTTATATGCAATAGTTATACCAAGGCTTCTAAGTTTTGCAGATATAATATATTCCAATGAAATACTGCCTTTATTCCAGGGCAAACCACAAGATATGATTATTCCATACGTACAAACTACCTCACTTCAAAGGAACTACCTTACTCAACAATCCAAAATATCTATAAAGAACGAATGTACAATAAATGGGCTAATAGAGAATATATCTATACAGATGGCTCAATAATAGATGATAAATGTACTTGTGCATTTTACCATTCCAATAATAAATATTCAGAAACTTTTGGACTATCTAATAAGGCATCGATATATACTTTGGAAATCGTAGCTATTCAAAAAGCCCTTGAATATATTAAAGGAAATGATAAAACGAATTTCATGATATGTACAGATAGCAATAGACAGATATAAATAGACAGCAAACTTTCACACATTCTTTTGAATATAATTGATTTGAATGAAGAAATTCTAGAAAGTAACAAAACTCTAGAAATTGTATGGTTAAGGGTCATGCAGGAATTGAGGGAAATGAAATTGTGGATAAAATGGCGAAGAAAGCAGGTGGTAACAATATTTCTAATATAAAAATACCATACACGGATCTAACGAAAGTTTTCAGGGAAGATAAAGTTCATTAGGCTGTCAAATTTTTGAGGATGAAAATCCAATTGTATTTCCAATTTTGGAGATTTTCACCACTGAAAAGACAAATAATATGAAAATGAACTATATTTTTCGTCAATACGTTCTTTACGAAGAGAAGTATTAGAAATATCAAGATGCGTTGTTCTATTCTTAAAATATAAAAAATAATACAAATGGAGGATAACAAAGATAACCATGACATTTGTAGGTTTGTTCGTTTGTGAAACTTCAAACTGGTAGCTGGATGCAAATTTCTAACAGACAGTAAATGAGTTTGACATTTGCGGAAAAAAAGAACAGTTTTCAGGATTTCTTTCGAAAAAAAAGAAGTTTTCAGGATTTCGTTCACTTTTTGGTCAAATTTTGAGATATCTGAAGTTGAGATAGATATTTGAGATGTTCTCATGTGATGAAAATTACATTTGGTGTCTTATTTCATTCACAATTTCTGGAAAATGAGGCCCAATATTCATGGAGCAAAAATAGCAACTTTATAATCCGATTTCAAAAGAGCTGCTAAATACAAATAATGTGGCTCTTCTAAAAAGTTTAATGAAAGATGATCTGGTATGTCTCACAAACAAAATAAAATGAAAATTACTTTTTATTGTTATCAAGTTGATGACACGTACTACTGAAAAAGAACCTTCTGCTCTGGGGCAACTAACTCTTTCCTGAATTTCTTTTTGTTCTGAGACAGCCACTTCAGAAAATCTGCCACCATGGGATTGGTCTTGTCTCCGTTTTTTTCCAAATGCTCATAGTAGGCTATCCTGATGATTTTCAAGCAGACTCTGTTATGATATGGAACACAAGTAACTGGATCAATATATTTTGCAGGCTTTCTAAAAAAAATTTACAATATGAAGCATATATAATATTAAATATAATGTAAAAAAGGAAGAAACTTGTAACTGAATAAAAAACCATATGGTTAGAAAGAGAAGATGGCCAGAACGACTGTAAGGGATTGTCATTTTTACATGTCATCTGTCAAGTGGATTGTACAAGTTATGTAACACACTAAGCCATTTTTCAAACAATTCATAAGAGATACAACATAAAACGTAAATAATAATAATAATAATAGGTCCACGGCCTCCCCCAATAACTGAGAGGCCGTGGAATTTTGAGTTTGGAGTGTCTACATGGTACTGGATATAGCCTGTAAGGTCGTCAGGAGTTCGGATCCCCCTCTCTGCAATGTTCGTGACCACGAGAAAGCAGGGATTGGAGCATTTCTCTTTAAGGCAGCTGCCCGAGCAGCTGATGAACTCGGTTTAGTTTTCGACACTGAACGAGGTGACAACAACCCGTTCAGCAAAAAGCTCATAAAAAAGCTGCAGAGATCACCTCACTTATGCGGACACACAAGGATAAACCAATGCATGAGGAACATTGGAGACATTGGCTTATCAAAGCACCTGACTTTCGCTTTCCTCAGGTCGAGTTGACTGAAGTCGGAAACTGAGGCGCGCCCTCCCAAATGTATCGTGGCTTTGGGGAATAGGGCCTGACAAACGCACACTACGGTGGAAAAAAAAAAATGCTTTATTGTCCAAAGAGAAAATCTTATTGATAAAGCTTTGGTGAACATTGCTTTTTTGAGAAAGAAAAAACATAGTCAAGTACATAACCGGGAAAAGTTATAAAATTATGAAAAATACTTTTAAAATTTTATTTTCAATCTAGAAAGCAAATCATGTTTTCAATCACAAAACTATAATGCAAGAACTAAAAATCACCTCAGCATTTTTCAAAAAAAAAAAATTATTGAAAGGACTCACCCCGTGACAGCACATTTGAGTTTTTTGGGAAGGATAGGAGCAGGTCTGATGTTGAACACTTTATTGAATGAAACGTCATTTGGGTCATTCAAAAGAGTTATAAACGTTCTTTCACAATATTTTTGGGGTGTTGGCTGATCTTCCTGTTTTTCACCACTGGAAATAGATTCAAATCAAACAAAACAACTTAATCTATGTTATTGATGGACGAAATTGTTACTTGATGGAAATTAATAACACTATCCATGATAATAATTAGACAATTTTCACAAACATTTTAATTTCTAGTTGCGTTTTGCTAACACCTTAACTTACTCGGTAGAAATGAATGAATGAGTGAGGTTAGGTTAGGTTCATTTCTACAGAGAAAGCTACGGTATTAGTGAAACTTGTCTAGAAATTAAAATGTTTGCGTAAATTGTGTAATTATTATCATGGTTGATAAGTCATTTAAATTCAATTGATTGTTAAAGCAGGCAAAACTATGTGACAAAAAAAATAGTCCTTCTACACAAGTAGCTTGAGCAACATTTAATAAATAATTACTCAAATTGACAATATATGATATTCCTCTTTTTGATGCTTCATTTCAGGTATATCAAAATATTCTCTAAAAAATGAATTATTCTCAAAACTATTAAAAGATTACTACCTTGGTGTCGTATCCATTTCTTCAATTATTGGCATTTTACACGATTTGTACTGAATCATGGGACCTGAATAAACTTTTTTAATTGATCTCCTCGTTTTTTTCTCACTTTCCATCTTTTGGTACTTCTCTGAAAAAAAAATCAAATATTTGTGATCAAATTAATTTTACTGTAGTCGACTAAAATCGCACCTAAAGATTTGAGATTTTCTAATTCCGTAATTTTTGCTTCCTCCAACAATTCTTCCTGCGTAGGTATCCATTCTTCGGCTACTGGTTTTCTGACTTTTTTTCTTTGTTCTTGATCTCTAACCTTTAATCGCTGTGCCGTTTCAGCTGTTTTTGCTGCCGTTGACTTTCTAATTGATTTTCTTCCTAAAGAAAAAACTATGAATGAAATATAAATAGTTAACTATCAGGCAAAGGAGCCTCAGTTGAATTTGTCGTTTTTTTTATTCTTGCTGATCATGAATCCAAAGTCGAAATTTGGTGCACTTTTTGGAGATATGGCCAGTCGAAAGTTCAAAATTCAATTCAGGGACTCACTTTTAACAATGAAAACTGGTAAAATCTCCATTCATTCAAGATGAGACTCATTTTCATTCTTCGAATTCTGAAAATGAAGTTCTACTGCATGTTATTATGAAAAAAGGCCATTTTACGATGAAAATTGTTGATTTTCAAACAGTTACCAACTTCTGAGTAGTGGTACATCTGAAAGTAGTCCATCGCACCCAGTTTTGATTTTAGATTCAAAGCTAGTGGACAGAAATATGGTAAAAAAATTTCTCAAAACTATCATTAGGGTTCTTAATGACTGCATAGAATCCAAAACAATTATTTTTAGAATTATTGTATGTCACTGCTTTGGTGTATGTTGATAGCAAAAATCGCTTGACTGTTTTGGGAGCAGTTCTCACCAATCTATTGTGCCAAGCTCCACTCAACATTTATCGCTCGATTCAGTTCATTTGGTTCATAAATGTCATTTCAAAGAATCACGTCAAACATTTGTTGGAAAAAGAATACTATGAGAATATTTAGTTGATTTGGCTAAAACTGTAGTCAAATATATTTAGTTTTTAAAATAATTTCTATATAAGTCAAAGATATGCGAGTATATGACAACATTACGCTGTTAGAAAATCTGCAAAATCCCTAAAACTGAATCACTAATAAAAACTAACCAAAATGTTCACGATGATGATGATGATGATAACTGGGTTTCTGTTTAGGGCTTGATGACTTAGGTTTCGGCTTTTGTTTCTCTTTTTTCAGTATGGGAAGTGGTTCCTAAAACGAAGCATGTATCAGGTCATCACTTTGTTTCAACAATTTCATGCTGCACCTTGTAAGCTTTAGTAACAAGTCTTCTCTTTTTTTTCTGTCCTTCCTCTCCTTCAGCATCTGAAACTGGTTCATCATTTTCATCTATGCTAAAATCTGAATCCACAATGTCATCGCCTTCTTCTTCAACTCTAAAAATGAATACCCGATATAGGAACTTCTTTTAACAAAGAATAGTAAGGGCTCACTCGTATTCATGATCAGACTCTGTATCTTCAAAACCACCATAATTTTGTTTGTAAAATTCATCTTGACATTCTTCCTCTTCATCTAATAGTTTTGCCATGCGGTTTCCCGCATTTCCTCGTCGTTCTCGGTTCATTCTGCTTAGCTACAAAAAAAATAATGAATTCAATTTTGCAACAAAAATGTTGCTGTGTTTAATTATGTATTTGGTTTCACTATTTTCATGTTTGACACATTTGTGACACTTGACATTTGGTCATAACATGGACACAGGCAAAGTTTCTGTGACGTACACCGTGCGTTCCACTCACCGACATAACCTATAAGGTTATGTCGATGGTTGATGGTTCCACTAATCGCTCACAACAAGGTGTTTCATGAATGGGGGCAATTTACATTTTTGAATGGAAGATTTCATGGAATATGAGATGGAAATATGATAGTTTAATTTTCTATTACAACAATATTTTCAGGTCCTGAAAATCAACTGTTGAATAAATAATAAGTCCTCCTGCTAACATTTTCACCTGTTTATAAGTTTCACCAGTTGTAATCCAGAAGTGGGTTTGTTTTGTTTTAAATTTATCGCTTTCATTGTATTTCAAAGGTGAAGATTCACCTAGTCATTATAATACATATTATGAAAGCTTGATGAGGTGAATAAGCCAAATAAGCGATTTCCATGAATCAATATTCCATTTGTTGTGTGATGTAAATGCTGTTAGACAGAATTAGAGTGGGGGGGCGCTAGATTTGGGCACTGGCGTCCGACGCTAACTTCACGCAAGTAACGAATATATGTGACGATTTGGAAATGTTCAACCTTCATAACGAAATATCAACGATGAGATATGTAACTGTAATCACGAATAAAAAGAAACCTCGATTGATTTATGTGTGTCAATCTGAACAGCTGAATGAAAGACTAATCTCCAAGTCTGATAAATTTACTAGTTAATACCATATAAAACGTCCCACATAAAAATAATGATTAGACATAAAAATTATACCACATCGCTCATGCCATACAAAGAAACTGCTGACGTTCGGTAACTATTTAGATTTTATGCCTTTCGAATTGACTTCGTATATATTATGCTTCAACGTCAAGATATGCACTAAGCCAGATGGTAAAACAAAGTCCTGTCAACTGTTTTCATATATTGTTGTCGTTGCTTGTGCTTCCCGTGAGTAGAAGTGATTTATTTTACCTCTTCATCAGTTACTCAAGTCTATAATAATCGCAAAAATATATTACTCTCACAAATTCACAATTCATTATCTCAAAACAGAAGAACAATAAACATCACTCGGTTATTCCCAATGACGTCATAATAAATATGGACTGGTCATTGAATAGAAAACATTGACTCCAACAAGTAAAAAAGATAAATAGATTCACATCCTAACATTCACATCCTGGCATGCACGTCACTCAAACACTTAACGTCAGATACGTCACGATGTTTTACGTGTTGAGTATTTCCATGTAAGAATTTTGGTATTTGATTTGTCACATGCTGTACCGCAGTGGCCAAAACGTTGTTTGATCCGCATGTGGGATATAATATGTAAAAGTGACAATACGCCCAGACATATTATCATATGTCTATGGTTATTCCGATCAGCCGTTTATCGGTTGAGCAGCGCCATCATCGGTACAAATTCCTCCCAAAATAATACCTTTGGTATTTCTTATTGGTCACGTCACATAAGTGACATAACTACCGTTCGTGTTGGCAAATGTGTGGTAATTTTAGGGGAAGTACATGAAGTGGTTTGATCATTCATAGACGAAATGTAACAAGTTTTTTTGTAATTATATATATTTTTCTGCATCACGTTTATCTTATCCAAAAGCTGAATTTAATGTAAAAGCAATTGTTCAAATTTTGAACAACCTCAACCCGTTGACGTACCCCTCTCATACTGGGTATTTACTGTAGAAGTGCTCAAAGGAATTGATTATTTCAATTGAAATCGAAAGAACTATCGAAATGGTTTTTCAGTTCAACCCACTGGTTTTCGGTGCTATGTTAGTGGTAGCACTAGGGACTGCAGCTTACACATATTTCTCAAATCGTCAGACTCAGAGCTATGAAGCTCCCCAGAGTCATGCCTATGCTCCTACGAAAGAGTAAGTGTGCGGATTATTCTATTATTTTAATACGCAATGGATCTTCAAGATTATCACGTTATTGTTTTTTCTGCAGATAATAAGTGTGCTTGTATGTTCATTGCAAAAAACATCGGCACTCTTATTTCAGTATTCTATAAACAATATTTGTATTGGAGTTTGAATCGTGACTCTTTACTATTCCCACATATTGTCGCTCTCGTTTCAGATTACGATATTTTCCAATTTAAATACTGTTTAAAACATTGTGATTCTTGGCATTGAATAGTGATACAACCTATTTGTCTCAATTTCTGATGATTTTAACTAATAATATGATTGTTTACTGATGTCCTCATATTATGATATAACCTATTTCATCTCGAAGAAAAGAGAATTGAAAATTTCTATGTTTTTTACCACTTTTATTTGTAACTAACGTTACTGCAGTTAGGATTTTCAAACTTATACATTAAACTGCACTAACTGCAGTAAAGTTAGTAACAAATAAAAGTGCTAAAAAACAGAAAGTTCCAATTCTCTTTTTTTCATTATGATTTCCTACCAGGTAGTAACGGCTACATCCATCAACTATTTCATCTCAACAAAAAGTTAACAGCAAGGCCTCTAACCTCATCTCTGGGGCGTGCACAGGTGATATTAAACAGGTGTCAGTGACTGCCTGCCAGTGTTCAGTATGTTGTTGGACGATCCACATAGTTTTGAGAAACTTATGAGTTAGTTCTCTACTTTGAATTACTCAATTAAATACTGTAAATAACAAATTGATTCTCTGTATTCTATGATTTCTACTCATTTTGCGGCAATATCCAACAACGAATCTGGTATTACTACCCCGCAAAAAGAAAATGAAATGCTCCAAAAACGGATAAATGATCTGGAAAGCCAAAAACAAACAGGGTATGATTGATTTTTATTTTGAATGTAATGAATGCACGAAGGGAAAAATTATTTAATAATGGGTATGGGTAAAACCCATGACCATTCTGACCTTCAACAAGTTGAAACTATACTTTCCTCAATTGTCCCAGGTGCAGATGCAGAACTTGAAAACTCCTTTTGATTTGGAAAAAATGATCAGGGCTCTCAGCTAGTGAAATTTTGTCTAGGTCTCCTGATCTGGTTAGATCTTCCTGAGAAATGAAAATTCTCTCAAGCTGTCAGAGACAGAATTTACTAGGATCTCAAAGCCGTTTCCACACCTAACCAATAATAATAATCGTCTTTATTATTTTCGATAAAAATCAAGAAAATATATTCACAGAATATTTTTGAAAAGAAAGGGCGAAGTTCATTTCAGTTCCTGAATAAATTCAACAACTGAACTGAATCTTTCTGTACAATGAGCTTGACCAGTGCAGAGAGAGTGATGAAAAACATATTTTTATCAAAGAAATCAATAATCGACCAACAATTGTTCGAAACAGGAACAATCTTGCTCATTCAAGAAGGCACTGTGACGAAGATTATTCCTCCGTGCTGATAAACTCTCCAAAAAGTCCAATTAGCAATCACTTGAAATAGTTGCCTGAAATATGCAGGGATTCAAGCATTTATCCAGATTCCTAGAGCAACCTATTATTTTCATATTCTCTGTGTTTCCAAAACTTGGCTAACTGCAAAATTGAAGTTTTTACAAAGTGAACTAGCTGAATATCAGTTCTGTGGTGACAATTCCAGAAAAACCACAGTAGCATTTTTGTGGTGAATAACATACTGAAAACTGATTCTTCTCTCTAACTTTTATATACCCCACATAATCACCAGTGGGAACTACCTGCTCAGTACATACTCAATCATAATTAGCTAGAGCATATATTATTTCAACATCTAGATGTAAAAATTCTAGAGCGTACTATCGGCAGATTGCTGATATTTGTAAAGAAATATTTATCTTGCTGCTTACTGGATATGTTTACCTGGTGAATTTCCAATCCGTTAAAACATCATAACTTTCATTTTATGTATTGTTTACTTCAGGCGTTACTCTGTAATGGTTTGAAAAATTTCTGATGAGCATTTTTAATGATGATTGCCTACCACGTAGTAACGGCTACATCCATAAATTTACTATTTGTTATTCTTAGAGACTTTAACTGTAGATATACCTCAAGCTGTTCTTGAGGGCACTTTCCAATATTTTGAAAGACTCAGTTTCGACAAAATTGTTATCGATAAGGGCTGTATTTTACTAAACTCTATGGATACTCAATAATTTTGTCTATTTAATGGTAGATCGAATAACTAATTTTACTTTGATTATCAAGTTGGCGGGAATTCGGTCAAAATGTCGTACCAGACGACTTCATTTTGATATCAATGGATATAGTATCTGTATTCACCAACATACCAATAGATCTAGTACTGAGTCTCGTTAATGAAAAATGACATTTAATAGAACCACACACTGCTATCCCTTTAGAAGCATTCATTAAGTTATTCCAGTTCGTAACGAGTAACAGTTATTTTGATTTCAATGAAGTTTTATATACACATGTTTCCGGCCTAGGAATGGAAAACTGTTTATCACCAATTTGCTCTGATATTGTTATGTCTGACTTACAAAATAAATGTCTACATCAATATAATTTTCCGATAATTTTTTTCAAAAGATATGTTGATGATATAGTTTTGTGCATAGAAAAAGAAAACGTAGGTAGAATGTTAACAACATTCAATAGTTATCATCCCAAACTTCAGTTCACCGTTGAAGAAGAAAAAAATGATAGAATTGCTATTCTGGATGTTTTGCTGATAAAATCTAACAACAAAATTATAACTGATTGGTACCATAAACCAACATACTCTGAAATATTTATAAACTACCACTCTATCCACCCAATGACACAAAAAATAAACATCATCAACAATTTCAAATACAGGGCTGCACATTTAGCACATGGTAATTTTAAAAACCAAAACCTAAAACTAATAGAAACTGTGTTACTTAAGAATTGCTATCCTAGATCTTTAATTAAAAAATTAGTATATTCAGACAGAACAAATAAACAACAAAAAAAAGAAAAAACACCGTTGAACATTAAATATTTCAAATTACCGTATGTAGCAGGTCTGACACCACAACTATGCAAGACTAGAAAATAAAAATTTTAAAATTAGTATGAAATCTGAAAATACAATTAAAAATTATTTATTCACGAAAATAAAAACAAAAACACCAAAAGACCTAAAATCCAATATTGTCTATAAAATACCATGTGCTGAATGTGAGAAAATATATATAGGACAAACAGGTAGGTATCTCAAACAAAGAATTACTAAACATAGCAGGGCTTGTGAAAATATACACAACACACTTAAAACAATGAAGAATCCTACTAGCCTTGCAAATCGTCTCTTCATACTTTTGATTTTGAGCCAGTCAGTATTATAGGACAACAGACGATACTAAAAAAATCACTCCCGAACGACATAATTGAAATAACAAAACATGGAACAAAATGCGTTAAGTAAAGGTCAGATATTGAAAACTTACACACCTCATATTTCAATCTAATAGAAAAATCAAACAATAACTAACTTTGGAATCATTAACCGACTGCTTTTTCCCAATACAATTCTCATTTCTTTCATGGGCTTTTTTTGAATTATAAAGAACGATTTACAGACAGTTCAGATTGTTAATCCCTTCGTGTCTGTGTCAACGTCTTTCAGGAACCTGTGTACGTATTTATATTTCATGTCGAAATTATTCACTTCACCCTTCAACTCGGAAAGCCGCCCTAAATGTAAGTACTCATTAACGTTGTTTTTTGTAAAGTGTTCGAAACGTTTATTTTTTTTTTACGATTGTTATATTACATAATTTATTTTGTTTCTAACAGAACTGCTTTGTAAACTTCCATTTTGATATGTATGCCTTGTTCTTATACTTCAGAGTCCTGAAGATGAAACAATAAAGTTTCGAAACGTCGACAATTTAGAAATTGGTTTTCTTCAACATTTTGACCGAGTTCCCGCCAACTTGACAATCAAAATCATATTCAAGGGTCGCCATTCTATTCAAATAAACTAATTTTACATTCTGCTGATCTAGCTTGGGTCTGTAATACCAATCTAGGGCGATTTTCGGGTAATCAACAATATACTCATTTCAGTTTTTTTTATCAATCTAACATTAAATTTATGATATTGCACAGCTACGGCGAATTTCACCTGGATTTATTCATCTAAATCCAATGTTGTTGGATGGAAATCTACAAGTGAAAAACTTTTATGGTCATCTAAATTTTTATATTATTACTTGCAAAACTGCTGATGAAGTTAACATGAGCCAAAATTCTTACTCAATCAGCTTTCATAATTATGTTCTGGACAAACTATGGTTTTACTATGAATACAGACAACTGAAAAAAGCACTTAACCGTAAATTAAAGATTTGTAAATGTATTAATTGTTGTTGAACATGAAAAACTTTTGAAAAAACAACTGAGGCAATTTTGAAACAGTTTCATTAATTTGCCAGAAATCTCTATAGTCGTCTGGGGAGAGTTCTGTGAAATTATACTCTCTTCACAGGTAATTGATTCAGCTAAAGGAACAGTTCGTTTAGGTCAGTCTCGTCTCGACTTACCTACACTGTAGGTTAATGGACTGGAACTTATTAGAAAACAACTGCTCCCCTGGCTAATACCAAAAAGGGCGTTGGATTATATCTCTTGAATGTTGGTCTGTTTGGGTACTTGCAAAAATGATTAAGGTTTTGGGTGCAAATTGATGCTATTTTTTGAACACTCCACTTATCTCTGTGGGTTCTACAGAGTAATAGTATCACCCCACTTTATTTTCCCTATTTTTTTCTGACATTGAAGATTCAAAAGTAAGCATGGAAGTTACGAACCAACACAGCACACGACATCCAATGGATGTCCGTTTTACGTCCGGCTCAAGTCCGAACGTCCATGGATGTTGTGAGGACATCCACTGTACGTCAAGATATAGACGTATAATGGATATTCCAGTTTTCTACATCCATTGTACGTGCATGTAATGTAGAAAAATGCTCAGATATATTATTTTGATATATCAAGATGAAATATCTTCTTCGTTCTATTCTGTTTTCATCACAAATCAAAGTTTATTGTTCAAATAAAATATACTAATTCAGAAATTCAATCGATGCGTATGAATGTGTTCTGATCAGAAGATGCCATCTGAAGGACTGACCTAGCTTATCTAGAATAAATAAGGATGGGACAGGGGCTCTGTCTGATGGACTCTAAGTTTCCTTATTTTGTGTAGTTCAAAATTGCTCAGTTTTTTTGCGAAATTACTCACTAATACTACCTCTTTTGAATTTCAGGCCCCCAAGAAAAAGGAAGAATGTTGGTGAATGCAGGATCTGCTCAAGAAAATTGGTGGGTCCAACGAAAACATTACCCTGCAGGCATGAGTTTCATATTGAATGTATCAACCGTAAAACTTGTCCGTTGTGCACATACAGCAGGCGAATGTAATGAAATTACATTAGTTTCGAAAGTGACAGAGGCAATAGTTTATTACAGTTTTATGGAACGATAGGCATATCTTTTCTAATCATTGAGTTGAACGTTAATTGGTGGGATTTTATTAGATCTTGAACAGCAAAATATTGAATGCATTAAGTATAGAACTAAAACAACACAAAATTAATATTCTCAAATTGAAATGCAGAAAAGATTGATAAATGTATTTAGATCAATTCACGAGTTAATTTATTTAAACAGTTTCACTTTGTATCTGGTAATTTTTGGCATTGTACAAAACTCTTTCAACATAAACTGAATAATACGTTTTTGACAATTGAAATTTTGATGGATCTGACTGTATAACTTGTTTCTCTTGATTATATTGAGTTTTAAGTATAATTAAGAATAAACTGAAATTAATTATTTTAAGAACTTGTAAAGTTTACAAAATTTATCTTATTGAGGTATTCACATGAAGGTCTGTAATTATCTGTAATTTTCAAAAAATGCTCTGACAAGGGCTGATACATTTTATTGGTTTTTGAAAGTGTGAATATAAATATCAAAAAGTAATGAAATGAAACTTAAGCATAAGGAGAAATACATTTATGATTGAAATTTTGACATTTCTCTCCTATTATCAGAAGTAACATGAGGAATGATTTTCACCAATACTGTTTTTTAGTATATCATTAATACAGCTTTTCTTGGTTTTGTTTAGTTATAAGAAAATTCATTATAGTAGTTTTAAGATAACACCAACATTTCATTTGAATAAGTTAAGTATATTTTATGATTCTACTAGATCATAGCGATATTTTTAGAATACCCGATATATTTGAGTTTGATAATTAAATTGTTAATAACTGATATTATAAAATCAAGCCTTATTGAAAAACGTTATCTATATGTTTTTTTTTACAAACTGACAATGCAGGACAGTCAAGTGAGGAAGATGATGAATGTTGGAGATGCGGACTCTCTTTGGTTGAAGAATATTTACAGAAAACCTAAGAAGTCACAAATAAATTGAATATAACACAACATGACCAAAATATTTTGTTAACCAGTGAAAATTGATATTCAAAAATATGAAAATACTGATTCCGATTTGCAAAAAACAAGTCAAAAATACAAATGTTGTCAATAAAAAGTTATTAAACAAAAAAAAGACAATGAAAAACTAGAACAATTTCAAACCAAATCATCTCTCCCAAAACCTACACCATAGGTAGTTGGGAGATATGAATGTTTGAAAAGACAATAGAGAGGCCTTTTACATCCTTGCATCGAAGGCAGCATAACTTTGTTTTTTTAGGGGAAGTAAGTTGGACCATAAAACAGTGGCGGTTGGTTTAGTTGATAATCGGAGGGATATTATATATTTATTAAATAAATCGTTTCAGCTGAACGTATGTTCTGTTCAATTAGTTGATTTATTATTAATGATTATGACAATGGGGCCAGTTTTTCCTACTCACCTACTAGATTTTTAATTATGTATGGCTTTATAATAAAGCGCTTGGTTTACTGGTTTAAAATTAAATTTTCAAATGAATTCATAACGATGATAAACGTTAATTTCAAAAGTAATGAACTTTGCTTCATAAAAGCAGATGAAGAAATTTGAGATTTATTCTCGGATTTGATAAACAAGCGTTACGGTATGTGAGATCCGTTATAAATAATTTTCGATTAAAAATCATGAACATTTATAATTACGATTGAGGTTCGATATTGCAATGGATTTCATTCAAAATTGGTATACGGGTCTTTGGGACCGACATTATTTCATTATTTGACATATCCCAACCAAAAAAAGGTTTGAAAAATGTCATTTCTTATTGAATATTGTCTGTATGCAACTCGAAAGCCCCGTGCAAAGAAAGGAAAACCCAAATTGAAATCATATTCTTTGTGTGAATGAGCAATAACAGATTTAACACCGGTTGCGCAAGAATAACTAGTATGCAAACTGAACATATTGAGCAGAAAGCTTTTCAATATGTTGATCACAGAATGAATATGACCTATGGCACACATGAAAAACATATTTTTCATTATTGAATACAGTTTTTTTCATTTATATTAATGATTTTTTGTAATTATAGAATTCGTCAACATGAATTGTTGAAAAAAAACAATGTCGGCCCACAAAGACCTCTATGGATATCAATTTTGAATGAAATCACATAATAATATCAAACCTCAATCGTAATTATAAATATTCATGATTTCTAATCGAAAGTTCTTTATATCGGACCTCACAAGCAGTACCGCTTGTTTATCAAATCTGAGAATAAATCACAAATGTCTTCTTCTGATTATATGAATCAAAGTTCATTACTTTTGAAATTATCATTTATCACTGTTATGAATTATTTCCTTTGAAATAATTTAATTTTAACCCAGTAAACCACGTGCTTTGTTATAAAGCCATATATGAATAAAAATGTATTAGGTGGTAAAAAAACTGGTCTCATTTCCATAATCATTAATAATAAATCAGATTCACCTGAAATTATGTATTTTATAAATATATAATATCCCTCCGATTATGAGCGAAACTGACTAAACCAACCGCCACTGTTTTATTGTCCAACTTACTTCAAATGTAAAAAACTCTCCATAACCTAGTACGACACCCGTTTCAAAATACATGTATTGGTATAGGCATAGGCAAGGCATCTCTGTCTTATTATTACTCTGTGGTATGAACTGACTGCTGGCTGGCTTTCCAAACCACAGTAGCGCCCTAATCTAAGGTAGTGCCCAAACCAAAGTTTCAATTTTTTTTGGCCTGAGCCGGGCCCCTGGGCGGCCAAGAAGAAATGTTACGCAATTTTTCCCCATCACAAAATCATTTTGTTAAAGCCAACGTAGTCGCGAGCCGCGAAGAAAGTTGCCTAATTTCACATCTAGTATTAAAAAGTTGAGACTGTTTTGTTTTATATAGTTATCATTATTATTCTGTTTTGTTTCTAAATAAAAAGCGAAAGAGTCAAACTAAATCTTACTTTGCCAAAAATAATAATGTGTTTGATCGCACCCATGAGTTCATTAAGGTTAATCTCATAGAACACAATTCAAATGATATTTTATTCTTCATTTCAGAATGAATACACTAAAGTTTTTAGGGCCCATTTCGTAGGTTTGGTTTGAATTAGGATTTCAGTTAAACCTATTTATGGATTCGTGATAATTAAAGTTTTGTTCATGAATCGTTTTCTTCTTTTGTACACTTACTTGGGGCACTAAAGCCCATATTTATCATTATTGCATTATAAAATATCTACATAGTTCAAACAACGTGATTCGTGAACAAAAGTGTTATGTTGAGTTCTGTGGGGGCAGTGGTAGTGGGCGGACGTGCCGATAACGACCGCCATAAAGAAGGTACGTGGATGCCATGTGCTATCGCGGGGTTCCTTTTTGTGTACTGAATGTCCATCATTAAATTAACCTATATGTGTAAACATATCAGATGTGAAGCGAGGGCTCTCTTCATTCACGCTGGTATTCAGTCCAGATAGTTCGAATAACCACGTAAAAGGGGCCATGTATGTGAAAAAAAACAAAAGGCCTTCCGTAGAGGAGACGACTTAAAAAAATTATGTTTAACATATCAGATGTGAAGCGAGGGCTCTCTTCATTCACACTGGTATTCAGTCCAGGTAGTTCGGATAACCACGTAAAAAGGGCCATGTATGTGAAAAAAACAAAAGGCCTTCCGTAGATGAGACGACCTTAAAAAATTATGTTTTCAAAAAAAAATAGTGAAAAAACTAGGAAGTGGCAGCATTGCCTCGAGCAAGAAAACTTCTGTCAACTGTTGACAGGAGAAACTAGCCAAATGCGCCCGAGTGAGAAGCAACGGCCATACAAAGAGAGAGAGAGAGAAAAGTGTGATAATTGAAGTGATAATTGATACACTTTCAAAAGAAAGCGGCCAAATATGAAGTTTTTTGACTGACAAACAGGGTCTCATTAATTTTTTCTTTAAATAGAAACGAAACAACTAAGTCAGTTGTTTCTAATTTGTGATATTGATGACTTATTTATTTTTGTGGAAATTCATCTTCAATTAGATATAGGAATAAAATACTTTGTCTAATTTCCACTTACTTGTATCTATATCTAATATCAATTGTTTCTATTGAATACTTCTGATCATAGTGAAATCCCAACAGAAAAGTAAAACCAAGAGAAGAATACAAAACCATCTGTCACTTCGAAACTTGTGTTGGCAAACTTGCTCGAGATAAATTTAGAAAAAGTACAGAGAGTTCGAGAAGGTAAATTGATAGTTTTTGTACTATTCCCGACTATTTATAAAAATCCTACAAATACTACGGTCAATTCAACAGCCAGTTGATGTTCAGATTTTCAACAACCTCGAACCACTGGAGTTCCCTTCTAACATTGACTAGGAATCTGGGAAAGTGACATCACTCATAGCATAACTAAACCATTAGTTTCATTTGAATTAGAAAAAACTATCGAAATGGCTCTTCAGTTCCACCCGCTGGTATTTGGTCTTATGTTAGTAGTAGCAGTAGGGACTGTAGCTTACACATTTTGGTCGAGTCCTTCACATAAACAGAGCTATGGAGGTCACCAAAGTAGATCCTATGATATTCCTCAGAAATATTCTATTGGCTATGATACAAACATAAGGAAAAGGTAAGTATCAAAATGGTTCTATTGTGTTAGGTATTAGTGTTCGAGAGTTTTACAAAAGTGTTACACACCTATTGAACCTTACTCTTTTCAATTTTGATCAAACCCGGCATGTACGTAATAGGTATGTCTAACGTGAGTGAGAGTATTCAACCATTCCATGTAACCTGTGTGTATGTTGATCTCACTTATTCAAACTCGACCAAGTAAATCAGCTGGCGGTCAGTTTGTGACTACCTTTGTCAGGTAGGTAAGCAGCGCAGCTGTGTGACTTAGGAAGTAGGTCTCCTGTGATTTTTTTCAGGGAGACGATATCTCATGGCCGCAGGGTACTAACTGCATCCATCAGCCAGGAGACACTGCTGAGCCTCTCAGGTAGTCTGTAGCCATCTGTATGGCACTTTTTTGTCAAAGTCTATAGAAAAGAACCTTGTAGCATATTTGCTGGAACTGTGAAAAAGTCGACTGCAAAAACTCTCTGCTGCCGAACTTTTTTTCGAAGTATTTCCCATAAATTTTACACAGGGTGTTGGTATGCGAACATTCAGGGCTGTAAATCTACATGAAAAAAGAATTATTGGTCCAAAAGTATTCCATTATGTTTTAATTCTCTCAAACTGAGATACTCATAAAATAATACACTAGGCAAGAAATGAGTAATTTTTTTGAGTATGTGTCTTTACCCAGGGGCACATTTGAAGTTTTAAAAACATGTGATAACCGTCAAATCAAATATTAACATCATAAATATGGTACAACCACCATCCTCGAATAGTTGAAGCCACTGAAATTATTATCACTTTAGCGATTTTAACTGCTTGAGGCTAATGGATGCATTAGCCATTGAATTTATGACATAATTCTTTTATATACACCATTTATCAACAAATGCAGTCACTAAAAGCGGTTTTATTTCAGTGCCACAAGCTTTCAATAAAACATATTGATTTCTCCATGTTTTTTATTCTTCTGTAAAGAAATGACTGCATATTTGATGATGATTTACATGATTTTGATACTGGAAAACATTCCCATTGTTTTCATGCTTTTTGATTTCTTTTCAAGTTGCTACTATTCATTTTCATTTCAAGATGGAATCTTAGGTAGAAGTGAGGAAACTCAAATACCCTGTTTAAATTATTAATTCTGTGTGTTTCTTATTTGGTATAAGTAATTTTGGTTGTTCTACTGATTCGGGTTGCAGATCAAAAAAGAACAAATAAAGAACAATAAAGAACAAAATATCTTTTCATTGTAAAAAGTGAAGATCGTAAAGTCTTAGTTACGGGCGAAAACTGTTGTCTTTCTCAACTGCATGTTATTGGATAACTTTTAAATATGTTTTACTCAAATATTACTTTCCTAATAAGTGCAATTTTATAACAGTACTCTTTCATATATAATGTGTAGCAATCCTGTGTAAAATATCTGTTTCAATTCCAATATGAATGAAAAAAATCGTGTATATTACCAAAGTAGTTATTTTTCTTCCAGTTTATATCTGAAAGAAACTTTGCATAATCCATACATCTTTCTAAGAGTTTTTATTGATGTATTTAATTTTTTTCTTACTTTACTTGAAGGTTTGTCACTATTTGTATCTATTTTCTGTTAAAATAATGAAAATTGGTACGTGTGCAGGTGTAAAGCAGGTCAGTTTGATTTTTACAACTCATTATTTGAGGTGTTTTAGATTAAATAATTCTTTTTTTCTATCTTCTTTTCTCCAGCATCTACGTTGTATGACCACTAATTCATACTCTTACAAACTTATTTATGTACTTAGACTTAAATCATCTTTGTCTAAGTATTCCGTACAAAAACACATACATTTGTTGATTGATTTACTGATTAATACATTTTCTATTCTCCGATAAAATTGTGCAAGAAATATTTTCTGATACATGTTGTAACACTGGTTCACCGAACAATATCTTATGGAGTCACTGGTTATTATGAAGAGCTTACTTTAACCTGTAAAAAAATATTGCGATAGATAAATATGATAGAATATTTGAACATGTTTTCCTTTAGTTTCAAGGTTGTAATTAATAACTTGTAATGCACTGTTTGGAACATCATGGTCATGTCTAAATTTTTTTTCTGATAAAGAATTACTATACTGATATTACATCTTTTGAATTTCAGCCCCCCCCCAAAAAAAAGGAAAGAAGATAAATGCTGCATCTGCTTAGATAGCTTGGAAGATGATTTGAAAACATTACCCTGCCTTCACGTGTTTCATTCTAATTGCGTCTCAGGGTGGCTTAGTAGCAATTACACTTGTCCTATATGCAGAAAAATGACTTTTTAAATAACTAAAGAAAATACGAGTTCTTTCAAAACTGCCAGGGTCGATAGTTCCTGACAATTTAAGTATCGAAAGATAACCATCTTTTTTTAAGCATTAGTTTATTAAGGGCCTTCAAACTTTTTATAGCCAAGAAGATTGAATCAATCTGTAGTTTATTTCTGTGACGTAACAGACATTCTAAGCTTCTGTTATTAATCGATATTAATTATTCACTGACCTCATACTAAGTACCATTTTGAATGTGAGATTTTCACTAGACAGTTTACAAAACCGTGTCAAATGTTTCACTATAATATAGCTTTCTCAAGCATTTTCTGTATGAATTTTATCACATGACTAACGTCAATAAATTTATTTTCATTTATATCACATGATTCAAACACAATAATATTTTCATTTCAAATCTTTGAAAAAAAACTGTAATACTCTACCTCTACATACATACATACCTAAGTTTACAACTGAAACTAAATATATCAATTTTACAAAGGAATCAAACTCTTACTTTTTAAATTTTAATACAAAAATGTATTCACATGAATATGGCAGTAAAGAAGTTATAGTAAAAACATACCAAAACAGCTTCTGACGATTCAAAATTTGTTGGAAATTGAAATTTATAGAAAAGCGAAAGCTATAACAGAAGTTATACAGGGCCATTCATATTCGTTTATGTACATGGGGATCTCGTAAACGATAAGGGATAGAGTGTCGGTTAAATTGTGGCAAATTTATTTTAGAGACCTATTCAATGATGTAAAAAAATCGAATATAGCTTTTTTGGTTCCGGAGATATACAGGAAAAACTAAAAAATCCCAAATTATTTTTTTGCCTATATCTTTATTCACAGACATATTGAAAATCTGTCCACATTTTGCTATTGGCACTCGATGTGGGCTATCAGAATATGTCCATGAATCTTTTATATAGGGTGTCATCTGACTTGGGCCAACCCCATCTTTGAATTTTTAAATACGAGCCTGTATTTTTTGTTGTAGTTTTTGGATCGTAGACATTCACTTCATACTGAGAAATTGAATTTTATTTTATATTTCTGGATGTTTCGGTAATATTTGATTATATAATTGGGTGAATTATTCCCTTTTAAATTACGGCCCTGGAAATTGATTGACAATAGCAACTTTCACGTCTCCCTATGTACCATAGAGTTTTTAGAGACTGAGTTGACTAAAAACTCAATAACAACTTTGACGTCTCGCTATGTACTGTAGTTTTTCGAGATTTTTTTTTTTTTCATTTTTAGGTACCTATTTATATTTTCATTGCTCTGAGCGTTTTCTACAATGAACTTCGAATAAGAAGACCTTTTATGATTATCTGTAACATATCTACGACAAAAATATATTATATGATAGCAATAATAACATCCAAAACCAACACTATAATTGTAATGAAAATTGAAATGAAGTAATTTATATACACAAAAAAATGAATGGCGCAATAAATGTTCGAATTGGAGTCCTTCCATTTCGAGACAAATACTGGGGCAATATAATGGCCTGCAAGATCACCAGATCTTACTATTTTGGACTATTTTCTATGGGGGACATTGAAAAATAGGATTTACGCTGGCAAAGAGATAGAAAATGTGGAAGACTCAAGATTGAGGATTTTGAATGATTTCGCAACAATGCAGCAAATAAGTGTGTTAAGGACAATAAATAAATGAAAAAAAATTCTCGAAAAACAATTATAATCAAATATTACCCAAAATATAAAATTTAATTTATTTTCTCAGTATGAAGTGAACGTCGGCGATACAAAAAATACAGGTCCGTATTTAAAAATTCAAACATGGGCGTGGCTCAAGTCAGATGACACCCTGTATAAAAATTCATGGACATATTCTGATAGCCCACATCAAGTGCCAACAGCAAAATGTGGACAGATTTTCATTATGTCTGTGAATAAAGAAGATATAGGTAAAAAAATAATTTGGGATTGTTTGGTTTTTCCTGTATAACTCCAGAACCAAAAGAGCTATATTCGATTTCTTCACATCACTGAATAGGTCTACAAAATACGCAACTTTGCCATGATTTAACCGACACTCTACCTCTTATCGTTTACGAGATCCCCATGTACAGAAACGAATTTGAATAGCCCTGTATATACGTCAACTTGGAAATGTGACCGTTCGAATGCTGTCAAACAGCAATGAACTTATACATCTGATAATTACTCCAAAGCAATAAGCAAATTGAAAACGGGAATTCAATTGAAAGATAAAGTTTTGCTTGTTCATTTATTTGTCTATCATAAGTTCAACATGGCTGAAAAGACTCGGGCCTGAAAAAAAAACTTTTTTGTTGTTCAAAATTGGCTTTATTCATCAACATTATCTCTATCAAGAGCCATACAATCATTACAGCGCCGCTCTAAATACCACCTTTGTAGAACGATTTATCTTTTACCTCAAAATAAGCCTCAGTTTCAGAAATAACCCCTTCATTCGAGCGGAATTTCTTACCTGTGGGCATTTTTTTGACGTCGCTAGGAGCCAAATCCGGGGAATACGGTGGATGTAGGAGCAATTTGAAGTTTAATTCATGCAGTGTTGTCATTGTTTTGATTGACTTGCGGCACGGTGCGCTGTCTTGATGAAACAAAGTTTTTTCTTTGCTATATGCGGTCGTTTCTTTGCAAAAAAACGGCCTTCAAACGCCCCAATAACGCTATATTCTATTCACTGTTGATGGTATTTCCCTTCTCAAGATTGTTGATGATTATTGCACCACGCACATCCGAAAATACCGAGGCCATAACCTTTCCTGTCGATTGTAGTGCTTTCGGGCGCTCAGGGCGAGGTTCACCAGTTGCTCTCCTCTCAGATGATGATCGTTTTGTTTCCAGAGTGAAGTGATGGAGCCATGTTCCATCTATTGTCACATATTGATGCAAAACTTCCGGTTTGTTATGTTTAAACATGGCCAAACACTGCTCAGAATCTTGCTCAACAGTGAGCTCGCGCGGTACCCGTTCATAGTCAAATGCACATGCAATTTAAAGCTAACTCATTCTTTTGATATCTATACAATGTCAGCTAACTCACTCAACTTCACTATTCAATCATTAAAAATGTGTTAAGAGGTAAGATCTCATTAGTCCTTAGCTCGCACAAGTTTCGGCTTTTGAGAGTTGTCGTTCGTAGGTGGGGCGACTGCTGGTTCGGAAAAACAGATTTTAACAGAATTTTCCAACAGTTTTGTGGATTTTTTTGTTTTCTGGTGTTACTGCTTCATTTGGACGTCTCCTGCGTTCTGCATCATCGGTATCTCTACTACCACGTTTGAAGTCACCAAACCAACGTTTAATTTCATCGAGTCAATCAGAAAACCAACGTTTAATTGTTGTTTTTGATGGAGCGGAGTCCTTATAACACTTTTGAATCATCGATTCGCTTGAACCGTATTTTTTCCCATCAAGAAGCAGTGTAAAATTAAAACACGAAATTGTTTTCGATTCATTGTTTTGAATATAACAGTAGTGTCACTCAGCACAATAATTCGCAAACTAATGAGTGGAATATTATGAAATTTCAACAGCTTTCTGTTGAAGGTTAATACTAACTGAAAAAGCGGTGAATGCAATAAAACTAGCGCAATCTATGTGTTAGGCCCGATACTTTTCAGCCCGTGTAGTAGGTAGCAATTTTTAAATCTTTTGAAGAAGTTTTCAAAATATCTCATAACGAGATATTAACGTATGGGGAAAATAGTCTTTAATTTGCAAAAATATAAGCAATTAAAATAATGCACACATGGAAGAGTTTGTCATGACATGATACTTGAAATGCAATTAGGATTTGGTTGCTGTTGGAAAGTGCAGAGAATATGGATATCAAGAAAAACGAATGAACCTCTGTAGCAAGGAGAAATGAATTTATTAATGGAACTTGATGGCACAAAATAGTTTTTATGTTTGAATAGGTTTTTTACTTTTGTGCTCCACTAACGAAAGGTAGATGAAGAGGTAAATTTTCTATAGCTTTCTTTTCAGGGTAGAGTTTTTAGTAGAGTTTAAGACAATATTGACATTTATTATCGGAATAAAAGATGACTAATGAATGTAGACCATTACTTGTTAAAACTTGATTCAGGGGACTTTCATAAATACTCATTCTTTTCTTTCATTTTTATCAAAGGACGAATTTCAAAAATATTTTTCCAGTAGGTACTCCATATATAATCTAATTTTTAGGTAACAATTCGAATATATGCTCTAGTGATGAATCTATTTGGTAACTTTATTTTCATTGAATAAAATTATACTGGAAAATTGTATTTTTTTATGTTTCATATACATTTTTTTTTCCCGTGTTTGAGTTCATCCATCGCATCGACTATTATAAAGTGGCTATTGCAGCAGAACTTGAAAAGGAATATTCACATACTTTACCGGGCTCCAAAGAAAATCACAGTTAATTCTCTAATAACCTTTTCCAAGTGATTTAATACTTTTGAACATGAAACACAACAAGACATGAGTTCAGGTAATGAGGAATACAAAAACCATTGATAGTGTCGTGAATTAATCTTATATAGTTACCTAATGTTACTGTCAGTTTTGTTTCTGAATAGAAAGCAAAATAGTTTAAACGTGTTTTGCCGAAACTAAGAAGTTTGCCCAATCATTTTGCTCCTTCGAGCTTTGTTCAGTCCCTTTTCAAGTTAAAGCCGAATTCTAAGAAGAAAAATATCAATTGCTGTCAAATTTGTAAAATTCCAATTAAATGATGTCACGATAGGAAGGTGCTGTTTGAAGAACTAGCAGAGCCACTGCTGGCATCCCGCAGTCAAAATATACACCAGTTGAGTTATCAAAATCTACCAAGTCAGGAAGCCGAACCGCAAGTGAATTGAAAATATTGAAATTGAAGAAGTTGCAGGCAGAAAATCAACTTTGGAAGGAATGAGAAGATAGGCAACTGAAATTCAAAGAATTCAAAAAATTAGTATTAGAACTCGAACATTTAGAAAGTGAAAGAAAATTTGCTATTATGGAGATTCAAACGTCTATTCAAGAAGTAAAATCTTCAAAAAGCATTGAAAGCAGTGGTGAGCAAAGTGAATGTGTGAAAAGTAGCATGAATAAAAAAAGCATTTGACATGCAAAATTATCAGATATTTCAATGGAGAATAATACTCATGGAAAAGTTGGTGACTGGTTACTAGAAAATAGTTTTTCATATTGAGATCAGTCACAACCAGAACAGTTCTGTACATAATCAATTATCATTTTGGCAATGAAAATAATAAATAAGGTTCATTTGGTCAATTATCAATTAAATACATAAAAAAACCTAATGTAAAATAAGTAAGAAATTTGAAACCAACAATATTAAAACAACTTGTTCATGATCTTCAGATGCAATTTACACTAGTCCTGCTCAACTGAAGTTTCCTTTTTCCATCGATAAAAACCCAATTATAATGAAATGAGATCCCTTTTTACACCAAAATGGATATCTACCCTTAGAGAACCAAACTGTACTCAACTCCAAATCTCAAAAAAAAATTACTCAGGTGTCCTTTTTACAATCACCTTTTCAATTGTGGATGCCAACATACTATGTCGAAATGAATAGTAAAGCAATTCATAGTCAGTTCACGAAAATTTTCAAATTAAGGCCCTCTGAGAATTTTATCTTCATCCGTAGACTCACGAGACCTTGAAAGTTACTCTTGAAAATAAGCGGCCAACTTTAAAATTCATTTCGTTTTCTATAAAAGTAGATAATTGTAAAATTTATGGTAACAACGTATGACTTCTGGTTCAAATTTCGAAAATAATTCAGCTACTGACAATACCACACTTGACAACTGACATAACCGCCCTGTTTCAAATGTAACTAACAATAGGTTTGTTCTAGCAGCGATTTCAAACGATACGGAATCGTACGAAGCATGCGCATACGAATATAGGCGTTCTAGCAAAGCAAATCCAGGATTCGAACTAATAGTCGCATGTTCTAGCGAAGACGAAATCCAGTTTGCAAACCGTATGAGAACTGTCGAAGTAGTCCAGAGGAATTCGTAAGGATTTTCATAACCAGTCTCACGGCATACATGCGCAGTTGGCCAGTCCATAACACTAGCTTCAAACCATCCGAAATTTCTTGCTAGAACAAACCTAATATATTTTTCAGATAACCGAGTCAAAAATTTTGGTTGATACCGGTCAAGAAGTGGTTATTTTTGGAACTTGCTTTTTATTATTGTCGAAATGAACCTTTTTCCTGAAGTAAGAAAAATCACTCGCTAGCAGAACTAGTAGATAAACATTGCCTAATCCTCATATAAAACATATGGTAAAGTATAATTAAAAAAGAATGTTTTTAATAGAAGAAAATGTTCCTGGAGCAAAACTGAAATTTGCAGCTGTAAAGGATAACAATGTTGTAAAATTAAAACGTTGGCTTGCATGCCGCAATTTAAAAGTAACTGGAAAAAAGTGAATTAATAGACGGCTAGTAGACAGTTATTAATAAAAGAAATTTGAAATTCATAATTATCTTAGATTTATTTCCGAGTGAAATATGAATCAAATATAGATGGTAATGAAATAAATTTAATTAAATATAATAAATGAATATAATTTAATAAAGAATTGAGGTTATATCTCATTATAATCAATCGTAATTAACATTTCATGTTTAGAGCATACATATGAATATTTATTTTTTGCACTGTGAAATCCACTCTCCTCGAAGCATGTATCCATTTTTTACATCTAACCTCATTGATATGAGGATTTATAAATGGTATAAAAAACACGTTTTCTTCTGGATATCGATTATCCGACGTACAATTCGCAAAACAGCAATGCTTTGTTGGCATTATATTAGCACAAAATAATTTTTTATATCAGATTTATATTTTTAAATAATAAATTAATATTACGTAAATGACACTGTTTTACATGTGAACAGTTTATGTTTGTCTCTACTAGTGCTGCCTCTCGTGACACGTTCGCTGTACTCTCATTCCATAAATCAGATTCACTTTGTGAAAAAACGTCATAACATAGGTAATTGATGGATTATTCAGGGTTGTCAACCCTGGTATTTCTATTTAATCGAATATATCGGGTAAGGATTTCATCTGGAAAACATTCAGAAGCAACATGGGGTTGAAAGTGAAGTTGCTAATGATCAAAACCGTTCTCATGCCCATAATACTGTATGCCTGCACTGCGTGGGGCCACTGGCCAGTGCGCACAGACATACAGGAAGAAGATACAGTCGTTCATGAACGCGAGCGTAAGGGCCCCCGTAAACGCACCGTACTACATCCCCAATAGATACATATACAGATACTTAGACCTGGACACGCAATATGTGGACATGTATGTGAGAGAACACGCAGAAAGCGTGTTCGATAGAATCAGATCGCACAACAACCCAGTGCTACGCGATATACACGATGCGTTGAACATGGATGACCCCAGATTCCGAGAAATGGACAAACACCCAAGGCCGACAAAGTAGAATCTACGACCGCTCCCACGAGTCGCCGTCAGGCGACTCCGTTAAGCAAATTAATCAGACTTTCTTTCAGCAAGTTCACCGCAGAACAACTCGATCGCGATTCAACTATCCTTAGATTCAGTGAGTAACGCTCGACGTTAAAAACAACAGCCGCCGGTTAGTTTTTGGGGGCCCAAAAATAGAATAGCACCTAAAGGCTGACTTTCGACTAAAGGAGGTCAGATGTCAGTTTTGCTGAAGTGCCCATCAGTAAGTTGAGGACCGCTCGGAGAGCGGGGGTGGATGTAGTGGGGTAGTAGGTTCTCCTCGCTAAATAGCTGGGGGGGGGTTTCTACTTCAGGGCACTCAACCCGGAAGGGGGCATGGGGGGGGAGAACATTCTGAGGTGGTTACTACTTTGTATATTTGTCACTTGTTACATTCACTGTTCACTGTAAAACTGAATGTTAGGAAAATTAAATGGAAAATGAATACAATGACAACCACTTTCAAATAGTAAATAGATAGGTACAACTCAGAAATTGACAATACAAATATCAACTACATATGGCAACTAACTCTAAAGGTAATTATACAGTACCTATAGAATACTCCGAGCGAAATCCTTTTCGAAGATATCGGTTCCAAAACTCCCCTCCCGTCTATTTCAAATAAATTATAAATCATAATTTCGAACAATGAAAATATTCTCTTATGAATGAAAAGGAAATCGCCGAAATAAAAAATAAATTTCGATGATGCTAGAATAGGCGAATAGATGATACCGGGTACTCTGACATTTCAAGAATGTGCTCAGGATGAATGTCTTTGGTGTATGTTCATTATCTCCCTTGATGAGTAGTGGAGTGCAAAGCAGGATTACATAGAATTTACTCTAGTTTCTGAAGTGAAAGTATGGGAGATCATATAATTTGTATTTTTATTGATAGGACCCATATGTTCACGTCCTTGAATTTGAACAAACGTTTTCTGGATAGGATAACAACAAAGTTGGATAATGGAAAATGAAAGACTTTTTTTTAAAAACTGCGGTGAGGACAAAAAGCGAATGAATATTGGCGAATTTATAGTTTCTATGAATTTGATAAAAGCATAGATAAAATAAAATGGTTTGGGCGTAACATGACATTTACATATATTCCATCTGCGGACAGACAACCTCTTGGCCACTGCGTTACAGCATAACGTGACACATCAAATCCCAAAACTTTCACATGTAAAACATCGTGACGTAGCATCTGACGACAAATTTATGAGTGACGTTAATGTCAAAATGTGAATTTCTTCATCTTTTTTTAGTTGCTAGAGCCATTGTTCTATCTTCAATGCCATTCCGTATTTATTATTACGTCACTAGATGGCAGTCGTAGGTTGAGCAGACTATACAGAGCTTGTGTGATTTCTGTGAATCCCCTGATTGTATTTCATCTCGTGCACAAGTTTACGTCACCCCCTACTGCGAGTACATTTCTCTCTCCGGTACCCACGGGCTATCTACCACAAAGATTCGCAGCGCAGCCATTTTGTGATATTGTTTCAAAATTTTAACTTTGGTTTTTTGCTAATTTTTTTTCAGTGCTTTTTGTTAGGAATCTGGTAAGTTTTTTGTTAAGAGCATGATCATTCAAATACAGGTATTGATAAAACAAATATTTTACAAATATAAATACACCTTATGGATACTTTTTTACATTTTAGAACTTCACATTCTTCCATTTGTTCATTTTAGTTTTTTGAAAAATGTCTGAAAACCAAGGAAAAAGCAACAACTGGGCTTGGATAGTTGGGACTGGAGTTGCAGCCCTAGCTGGAGTTGCTGTTGCTGCTGCTACTATAATGAATAATCAACCTGCTGAGTATAGTCCTGTTCCTCGAAGACGTGTTAATCAGGTTACACGCCCATCTCGTCCAGGAAGTAGTGTTTCACGTATGATGACCAACACAACATCAGGACAAGTAGACCTCGAAGAAGATTTCGACAAAGCTTCTACTGCATCTTCTGAAGTAGATGGACAGCCGTAAGTATTTTCCATCTTGACATAAGAATATTCATTAAATTGTATTGAACATAGTAAAAGAGCCTTTACTTTTTTTGGGACATTATTTATCATTTTTCTAGTTTATATAAAGCCCTTTATTTTTAGAGGTTAACAAGACATGCAGAAACGTAATAATAAGTAATAATATCTTTCACTGGCCTTTTCAACAATACATCAATTCATTCACTTTTTTATATTCAGTGCCTCCTTTCACATACAGGGGGCTCCCGAGCACATTAGGATTAAGCAACTACTAGGAGGGAAGCACACGCTATTGATTCCTGTCTGACTTTAAGACAGGGCTTTTTTCTTTTAATTAAGAAGAATGAACACTACTTATGTTCAATAAATTCAAGTGGTGCTTAGTTTTCCTCATTGATGTAGGTAAATTTACTAATGTCATCATTATGGTGTATGTGATTTTCTCCCTTACACTTGGTGATTCAGGGACTCTTTCAGCGTAATACCTTTGTGAAACTAAGGTACCTTCCTAGACCAGCCCATTGAATGGACGGATCATATTGACCAACTAAAAAAACTATCCATTCAACTATTTTTTTGAAGAGACTTGGGTCAAGATGTGTTGTGTTAGCATATTTCACACTGTTCCATAGTCATATATCTTACGGAACTAAGTTTTGTGGTAATTCTATAAATGCTTTCCGGATTTTGATTCTAGAAAAACACGCTCAAGAATCATCGTCCAATTGGTTCCTTGCGAATTTTGCAAAATGCATTTTGAAAGATTGAATATATTGACAGTTCCCTTGATTTTTATTCATTTGAGTTTATTGGAGATTCACAAAAATTGTCACATATATCCTGGAAGTGATACAGCTTATAATTATAAAAGAGGAATGGTTCTTTTCTAGTAAATACAATTTTCAATTTTCTTTTCAGGCAAAAAAGTTGTAGGATATGCTTTCGACGTCTGAGTATACTTCCTGTGGAATATTTGCCATGTTCACATGTTTTCCATGAAGCGTGCGTCGGAAAATGGATGGAAGCCAATCCTCACAACAAAACTTGTCCTATATGCCGAATAAGTATTAACTAGCAAGCTGTTTCATATATTGGTCATGGTTAATATAATGTTTTTTTAACTAATCAATATTCCATGTACTTTTTACTTCTGCCGAATCTGTGTAATGATTGAAAAATTATTAAAAATTGTTTCACACGCATATTTTGATTTATTTTGGAAACTTAATGTTCCAACAAAAATACAGGATTATATGATTTTCATGAAGCCAGAAGATATTAAGGAAAATTTCACATTCGACTGTTTGCCCATATTGATGATTCTACTCGTGTTTTCTTAATTATTTATAATTTTTTATATTTCAGTTTTTGATACCTATTAACAAATTGATTGTTCACTCATATTAATTACTTGTGTTTTCTTGTTCAATATTTCATTATTTTGCTAAATTTATACGTTTAGTTAATTCAATCCCTATTCATAAACATTTACTGTTTCATGGGATAATGAAGACAATAACAATATATTGAAATTGCACATATTATGAAGCAATTATTGATTATTTGTAATCACTAGAAGGAAATCTAAACATTTAAATTTCTTTTAATATTACTTGTACATTTGCCCCTCAATAATACTATGGATATAATAGGTTGTTTCAAAAGTTTTGTCTGTTTTTATGAGTACTTTCAACTGCAATATCTCGGTGAATACTTTAATTTAATCGTAATGAGCAACATTTGAATCAGTGCAACGTAACAAGTCTATTGATTCCTTCAGCATAAAATTTGCATGCTTGGGATTCGATGAAGTCGAAGAAGGCCGTTATTTGATTGGCGAAGGTTCTACCAGATACTTGAAGAGATGATAGTCGGTAGGCGAGAGGTATGGTGGGTGACGCAGAACTTCGACGCTCGATTTCCTCACAATAGTTCATGGTTTGGCCCGGTTGCAGAAAGTTATAGTGAATCACACCAGCCGCTGTCCACCATACCATAACCATGCTCTTTTTTTAGGTGGCTTTTTGCCTTTGGGAAGTGCCTGGGTAGCTCATCGGTGTCCAACCATTGCCTTGAACTTCTTCACTTCAGAATACAGTATAGAAATTTGTTATGACAAATATAAAAAGATGCGTTGGTGAACAGAGTTTCACCCATGTTAAAATGTTAGGGTTTGATATCATATGATGCTGTGACGCAGTGGCTAAGAAGTTGTGTGATTCACAAATGGTATATATGTAAAAGTGACGTCACGCCCAGTCCAACAAAACGTTCGGAATCATAAATAAACAATAAGATTATGTTGATCCTGTGGAAGTGTAGAAGTGGCACGTCTAAGGAGTGTTTTAAGTAAAAAGGACAGATACAGATTATTAGAAACTTTGGTTTTTAAATCGATTTGCTTTTGACGCGTGAAATGAGATTGACCCAAAGTTATACATATGCTGATAGATAGAACAAGAATCGTTTCCAAATGTGAACATTGGTGAGCCTTAAGTGCCATAGATCAAGCGTTTTCATCAAAATTTTTCACATATGCAGCTCAGAGTAATAATATTAAATATATTTTTCATCACTCTGAGATATGCAGGAGTCCAAGTGTTTACACCATGACATTTTTATATTGTATGCATCATGGATGGAACCATCAAGAACTTTCGCCCCCTTTTTGTACTATACTTTGTTATAATGATAGCGATTGAGCATAGATTGCACACAATTCTCAGGCACAGAAGAATGCACAATCAGCAGGGACATAAAGAGATGGTGCCTTTGAACTAAAAAAGTCAATTTTGGAGATCTCTGCCATTTTGTATTTTGTGGGGATAAAACAGGGCGGCGATGTCGAAGGGTCAGTCAAGTTCACAGAAATGAGTTTGAGGGAAAATATTGGACATCAACTTTTGACTGTTCTATGCTTGAGACACAGAACAGTAAATTATACTTCATCTGTAGTCAGAATTTCCAAAAAGTTTGGCCTGTGTCTTCTGAAGCGAAACTTGACTCGATAATTATGATTCTATACTTTTTTGTGTTCCAGTGGCCTAATTCTCGAGTCATGGGAATTTTTTTACTAAAGTCATAATGACATAATTTGACATTTGAGGAAATTTGTTGTGCATTGTGGGTAGTACAAAACGACGTCAGCTTCATTGGGAAACTCCCGTGACTCCAAAAATTATATCCTGTCTAATTATTATCGAAGGTTAGGAATAGACTCTCACATGGTTTTTCAATTTGACAACTTTCCATCTGAAATTATCAATAACGTTTCAGAGAATGGAAGGCGAATTTTAAAGTGTTGAAAAATGGAACACCCCCGCCATCTGAATATATTTTTTTCACGTATAATTTTGGGTGAATGAAACCGATTGTTTTGTCAAAAATTCTTGATTCGAGAATTGACAGACGCCAAAATTGGTAGATGGAACAAGAGTTGTTTTCAAATGTAAACATTGCTGTGCGTTTAACGCCTTTGTGAATAGAATGCCGAAGCTCAGATACGAAAGCTAGGCCACCCGCCAGAACCTAGTTTTTATGCGCATGTTGGTGTTTTTAACGTCAACCTCATTTTTCATTCAACGTTCCTTTGTTATTGTTTACAAATGTTATTTCAATAACTATTGGCTGTGCTATTGGAATATAATAATGGAATGGAAAACAATATCAAATATTATTATATGTGGGGTTATTTTCCCTTTCCCTATAAATGGTAATAAACCAACAACACTTCGACAATAGAATAGACCAGTGTTCGTGTAGCCAGACCTGATGAATTTGGATACATATTGTGTTCTCAGAAGGACATCTGCTCAATTTGTAATTATATTCCTTCCAAACCTGACGAAGAAGTGTTTAGCCTCCTCGTTGGTCTTCGTCGGATGGCATTTATTGGTGATCTCTGGAATATTCTGTATTATCAAATGCATTATGCACAAAACTCAATACTTTTTTGTTGAGGTCACTAGTACCAATGCTAACTAATAAACACGTCCTGTTTTTAAATATTATTATATATATTATATTGCACAAAAGTACCTACTCATGATGTAAATGTCGTCAGTTCTTCAATGAAATATTTTTTGTGATACTGATATACTTTACAAACTTTCATCAAAATTTATCCTCTCTGTGTATTTTCATGATATGTCTAGTGATTGTAATTAATTGATTTTTTTATTTTGGTTAAATTTATTTTTAAACTTTACTTTTCATTATTGTTGTTACTTTTTACTTGCTGAAAATATATGTAATGTAGTGAAATAAACATTTATCTATCATATATTTCATGGAAATGTATCTATTGAAATCGATTTTATGTTGTTATTGATAATTACGTACCTATGCTTTGTTATTTGAATTAATTGAATGTAATGAATAAACAAGTCCGATTGTTTGATTTTCCAAATAAGTCTTCAAATAAGAAGTCTCTTGTTTAAGAAGAATAGATGATGATAATTTATGAAAACCTATGTTTATGTTCACCAGTTATTGAGTGACAAGGTAGTCCCCCTGCTATTTGTATTGTTCGTTTATCTCAACCAATAAGAAGTGTAATTTTGTAATATACAAAATTATTAAAAATATTCATAATTTTTATCAAATTTCACTATTGAATTTAATTGATGATATCTACTTATCTCTGTAATCAAATTTGTCAATATGCGAGTTTCTTTATTTCAGTGTACATTAAGACGAAATCGTTGAATTCAACCAAACCTTTTTCTTCGTGTCTATCGAGGTGGTATACACATCATATACAAGGTTACGAATTTTGAGCCATCGAACATCAAAGGCGGCATCAAAGCTCGCATCTGTCATCTCCTTCCCGTCATCAATTGATGATAGCTCTTTGGAAAATGGCCACAACAGATTCTTCTATGTTAATTTTTTTTTAAATTACCCATTTTAGTATTACATACCATAATTCACAAGTATATCTTGTATCAAGTATCTCGTTCGGCACAATAGAACGATATTGTTCTTGTCGCCATGTTTGCTGCTTTTAGTTTTAAAAATTGCGCTCAGTTTCTCAAAACGCTCATATCGACCCACCTCTTGAGATAGGTCGTCGTGAGCTAGGCGTGAGCATGAGTAATGACGTCACTAATGACGTTTCGCCGCGACCACAACGATCGCGGTCGCCATGTGGAACGCCTGAATGAGTATTTTAGGCGTTGTGAACGCTTAGTGGAACACACCATAAGTGAGGCGAATTCGACATGTTGGAATGTTGGTGATTTCTGTGAATCCCCGGAATACATTCCATCTCTTACATTTCCGGTTTCACCATCTGTCTGGTTTTAGTTTTGAAACTTTCTCTTTTGTTCTGTTCTTCTTTAGTGCTAGTACCCTGTTGGGAACCTGATAATTATTCGGTAGAAACTATAATCGTTTGAATACAAGTAGAAGTGAGTATATATATCCACAAAACAAAGATTTTCCAATGAAATAATTTTCAGAATTTCAAATTAACCAATAATCATTTCTTTAAGTTTTTTGGAAGAATGTCTGACAACCAAGGAAAAAGTAACAACTGGGCTTGGATACTAGGGACTGGAGTTGCAGCCCTAGCTGGAGCTGCCGTTGCTGCTGCTACTATAATGAATAATCAACCTGCTGAGTATAGTCCTGTTCCTCGGAGACGTGTTAGGCAGGTTACAGGCCCATCACTTCCCGGTTGTAATGTTCCATCACTTCCCGGTTGTAATGTTCCATCACTTCCGGGTTGTATTATTCCATTTACGAACACCAACATAGAATTGCCAGAAAAAGATCTCGAACAAGACTGGGATGATGCTTCTTCAACTTCATCTGATGGTAATGAACAAGAGGGTCAGCCGTGAGTATTTTTTGTCATATTTATAGATTACCAAACGTATCAAAAGTGACTATTAGTTGAATTCTATTAAACAGAAATAGGTCCTGCTCTATTTCTAAAACAGTTATGAGACATTTTTTTATCACTCACATCCAGTTTGTATGAAGGACATCGTTAATACAATGAATGTAAAGTGTTCAAGTAAGTAAAGGTTTTACAGTGAAACTATCTTTTAGATGACTTCCTAAAGTGAATAGAAAGGGGGATATTTGTATGAGAGGATTTGGGCAAAAAAGGTTATGGCTTTCTACTTTTTCAAAGCAATTGATTTCAAAATACTCTTTACAAAGATGTATGGATGCATATAATTCATTTTCTGATACAAACGAAGAGAAACGCCCTCTCAAAACAGCTACTTCCATATGAACATTGAATTGTACAAAATCACTTCCCATTCAGTTTTCACTCCGTTCGTTATGGAACTGAGTCAGATATAATTCATAGGTATGCTACTCAATACAATATATGAAAGAGTTGTTTATTTGGTCAACTGGTGATTTTTACTTCCACGTCTTTGAACAAAAAATATGGGAAACTTCCATAACGATTGCTCGTAGTATAAACTGAATAAGAAAAAGTTATTTTCATATAATTCAATATTCATATGAAAGTAATTGTTTCAAATGGAGTTTTTCTTTCGTGTAATTCAATGTTCAAATGGAAGTAGTTGTTTCAAAAGAGTTTTTCCTTCCAGTTTTCTTACACAACTACAGTATAATGACCCTTATCAATTGATTCTTTCCATTTTCATGCAGACTCATAGATGAAGTTGTGTTGTCTAAAGTCCAACTGATATTTTAGTAGAATATTGTTATTATCTAGATATTTGAGTAGCCGATAGCACACTGTAAATATCAATTCTTTGTCAACACATGGCAGAATATCAATTGATCTGATTTCTCATGATTTATTTGCATTGGGGACTTTTTTTAAAGACACAGGGACAATGGTTTGTAACTCACTTTGAGTGCACTTTTTTTTTAATTGTAATGATGTAAGTATAACCCATGACATGCTTTGTTTATAAATTTACAATAGTATTTTACTGCTAAATTTCATTTCCATTCCTTTGATAAGTTCAGTTAAGTTTGTAAACTCCAATATTTTAAATTTCTTCAAGGAGTAGTCAATGGATATACAATCCTTTACATGCAGCCAATTTGTTGGATCTATAACGTTCAACAAGATTTCATGTACCTATACTATCATGAATTACTCTGTTACAGGAATAACTGGATGATCTTGATGAATTACAGACTGTCCGTCTCAGGAAGTTTTCATTGCACATCAAAGAATTATCATGTGCAACATGAATGTGCCTAGTACTGAAAGCTGCGAAAGTGTTTTAAGCAAATATGAAATTTTAACATTTCCATCCTTATATATTTCTGAACTGTATCTTTATATTTTCAAGAATAGAGTGTTGTGAAGAATTCTGCCGTACATCACGTAAATACTTATACTCAAAATCATTTCCATACACCAATCTGTAAAAAAAGAGTACGTTTCTGATCTCCTACTAATACTTTGCATTCAATAAATTACCATGACAATTAAAAACTTGTTCTTCGTTATTGACTTTCAAAAAGCAACTCTAAGAATTTCTTATTACAAAATGTTTATATACAACAGATGAAATTTTTTCAAAAGATGTCATGAGAATATTTTTATCAATATTTCTAATACATTTAGAATTCTTAATCTGCATTGTATGTTTTTTCTTGACTATTCTAATTCAATATTTTCTCTCTCAAACTAAATTATTATTATTACATTCTTCTGAATTGATGAATTGCGTAAGATCTGTATATAAATTTACAAATCAGGTATCGAAATACAGGGATATATAAAACACATTGAAAATACTGCCAGAATAATGAACAAAATATATACTAAGTTGTTCAACCTTCATTTATGAATGGACGAAATTTTGATGAATAAATATTTCTTGATGATTTTTAAACAATGATGAATATCAATTTGATTTTTCGTCAGAAGACTTTTTATATAATAGTAACAGTATTAAGTAAGTGATGGCTTGGAATGTTGTCTAATATTTTCAACTTAATTAATGTGGGAGAAATTAACATTTGAAACTTCCAATCACAATTATAATGCAGTACTGAACATTATTTCAAATTATTGTTCGAAATGTAACTCTTCCTAGAAATAAAGTGGTTTATGTACATTAGGCAATTGGTCAAAAAATATTTTCTTTTTCCATCCCTGTTCAACTTTCCTAGCAATCATTTGTGAATCTCCACTGTGAGTATTTTTATTTTTTGCAGACAAAAATGCTGTCAAATATGCCTTCGACATTTGACTAAGGAGCCTGTTGAGGATTTGGCATGTCAGCATCGTTTTCATGAAACTTGCATCAAAAAATGGATCAACAAGTCGCCGGAGTGTCCAACATGCAGAAGACCAGTAACCTTACAGCAATAAACCTTCATTTAATTAATTTTCTACAAAATAAAATCAACGAAAACAAAATTATATTTTTTCTCTGATTTATAAAATAGAAATGATTGAAATTTAAGATGTAGAGAATGAATAAAAAAAATACATCACTATTTCTATAGATTTCACAGGTTTTTAAATTTTTTAAGAATAAAATCATAAGTTGTAGTTTTGGGAATTATTTCAAGTTACTTGGTATGCTTTTTTTATTATAAAATTGCACTTTCTTGGTCTGCTTGTGAATTCGCGAGGATTAAATTTCAACCACTTATAAAATGTAAATCTTTCCCGTTATTATACTAAAAGTGCGAAATTCACAAAGAAAATGCTAAATACAACAACAGGAATTCTTTACAAGATGTGTGAATCATGCCCAGAAGTTTTTTTCAGATACAAACTGGAAAGAAACATTAATCTGAAATAATTACTTGCAAATGTGAACATTGAATTGACATGAAAATAACATTTTTTCATTCACTTTGTACTCTGAACTAATGGAATAGAAACAAATATAATGAGATATCATTGATATAATTCAGTTACACGGACTTTAGGACTTTATGTCACTGGAAGAGACACATGCTCTTGTCACAATGACAATGTTCATTATACAACTAGTGTATTCAACCCCAGCCATAGGAATTTCTTGAAAATTGAGATATAAAACTTCCTATGTTTTTATACACTTGTATTTTTAACTAACGTTACTGCATTTTGGTCCTGTACGGACAATTTCAAACGAATACAATAATACGAATACGTTTGAAAATGCCCATATAGGATGAAATTGTAACGTTAGTTACAAATACAAGCGGTATAAAAATATAGGAAGTTTTATTTCTCAATTTTAATGTGGTACCATGTAGTAACAGATACATCCATCAATTTATTCACAGGAATTTTGATAAAAATCAATATGTTTTAGTAGATATTAGTTTTTCGAAAAAAAAAAAACCGTCGGTTATGAAATAACAGTTATCATTCTTCTGGGAGCAGATGTATCTCTTCCACCGACAAAATCGTAAAGTTCTTACAAGGATTGCTTATTCGCTGAGGAGTTAAATACTAATGTCAGAGGTGCGCCATGAGGAAATTAATTATATTGATTCCTTAAATCTAAATTCCCCTATTTATTTCTAACAGGTTAAACCTCCAATGAGTATGAATACCAGCAGGAAATTATTAGTATGGTTCCCACTAATTTCAGGTGGTTTATAAAAGAGTAATGAATAGGCTGTTCGAAATCGAATCTGCCTCTGTCTATAATTTTTGTTCCCAAACTTTCGAAAGCATCCAAAAGTTTATTTCATAGTGCATACAACATTTATTAGAGCCACTCCCATTTCTCCATTACTGAAAATACCAATACGACCACCTTTGGATAATTTTTTGAGATGGCCATGTGTGAAAGTCATGAAATTTATTGAAAAGAGCAACCTGTTAAGTTCACTCAACATGGATATATGAAAGAAAGATCAGTAGAAACGGCAATAATTCAGTTCACTGAGAAAATTATTCAGTCATTTGAAAATAATGAAATAGTCCTAGGTATTTTCCTGGACCTATCAAAAGCCTATGATTGCTTAAAATAAATATTTATTGGCAAAACCAGATAGATATGGAATTAGAGGAAATATCTGGAAGTGGTTTGAATCATATTTGTCAAACCGTCTGCAAAAAACTAGAATCATAAAACACGGAAAAATATTCAAATCAGAGGCACGAGAAAATACCGTGGGCATCCCACAGGGAAGTGTAACCGGTCCCATACTTTTTATTATTTTCATGAACGATATTTTAGAAATCCTAAATAATGACAGTAAAACTTCTCAAATCACCAATTATGCTGATGATACAAATCTGTTAGTGTCAAGTCACAACTATCCAAACTTAATTATAGAGTCGAGTAACCTCTTAGACAGAGCAAATCACTGGTTCTCAAAGAACAATTTGATTCTGAATGTTGAGAAAACAAATGTTATTTTGTTTAGAAAGACACAGCAAAGAATTGAAACACCAAGTACAATTAATCTATCAAACAATGAACTTGCAGTTCAGAACTAACAAAATTTCTTGGTATATATGTTAACGAACACTTGCATTGGTATAATATTCTGGGGAAGCAGCAGTAATACCTCTGATATATTCCTTATCCAAAAAAGAATTATGCGAGTTATTTTCAAACTGAACCTTCGTCAGTCATGCCGGGGAATCTTCAAGGCAAATAATATCTTGACAGTATATGCGATCTATATCTATGAGAGTGTAGTATACTTTTTTAAAAATAAAAGTAGATTTTTTGAAGCTAGACCAAGTCATAATTATCCCAAGCGCAATATGAATATATCTTTTCCGATTCACAAATTGACAGTGTCAAAAAGGCATCCCCATCCTATGCGTCTATAAGGTTTTTTAATAAATTAGCACAGAGACTTAAAATGTTAGAGGGCCTGAAAAAATACAAAACAGGTGTCAAAGAGCTTTTGATCAAGTTAGAACCTCATTCACTCCAGGAATATCTGGATAAGTTATAAACCCTTTATGTAGAAATTGTGTGACGTTGTTTCATTTTATGTTTGATGTTTTCTTTATGAAATGTAGAGCATTCTCTGAAATATATTAATATTATTATTATTATTACCCGAAGACGATTGTGGATACTTACAATCGAAACGTCGTGACGTAACTTGGTTTGGAATCTTTTAATTTTTATTTTTCATTTCTTGTTAATAAAATTTTTAATTTTCAGCTTTTTACTAATATTTCAAATTTTATTTGTTTGGTTGTTGCTTGTATGTTATTTCTTTGTAATTTCAGTTTTTTGTTTAATAAAATTGTTATTTTCGGTTAATCTTTTTAAGGGATTTCAAATCAATTTATATTAGACAATGGAAGTCCGAACTAATGAAATACACCACGAAACATTGTCCACCACCTTCAAACAAATATTGACCACAAAACAGCCACACATTTTCTACAGACAAAATTATTGATTACGTTTTTCATTATTCAATACAAAATATATACTTGTATCTACACCGTAATTTACATCACAATTAGCTATTTATGTAGTAAACTCTTGATATTCTGAAGACACCAACCAAAAATAATTATTCTAGTCGAGATTTTCATCTAGGAGGCCCATTCCGCAACGATTCCTACCAACCTGCAAGGTTTATTTTCAGTTTTGGTGAGACATGATAAAAATTGTCGAGATTAATATCTAGCAGACCCTGTTGAACAGAGTTGGTTTACACAACGCAGCGTCCGCTGAGAGGTCAATAAACATCAACACCAATTGCACAATATTAATATATTTCTTGTTAAATAAACAAGACAAAAAATGGATGAAATTAAAACATAAGCGATACGTCTACAACTCTACAACTACTAAAGGCGAGTTCATATTAGAACGATTGCGATAATATTTTTGCGGTTCCGCAAATTTGCCTCAATTGTCAAAATAACATGTTCATGTTGAAGCGGTCAATATCTAGGGATTTCATTGTTGAATTTTAAATTTTATTACATGAACCTGAAGGATGTCATACGACTCATACGAATTATGACTTTCAAGACCAGACCCCATCGTATCAGAATATAGGACTAACAATTTTCTCAAGTTTTGTTTCATAGAAGCGTGTCCTCAAACCACTTATCTTAACGTTACTGCCTGCAGGGGCGAGGGGTTCTTTTGCAAAATTAGTTTTCTTTAAAGAGGGACCAACAAAATTCAATAATTTTTTGAATAATGAGAGAGTGAAATAGTTGAAATGTTTCTCTGGATCACTAATTCTCATTTATTTCAGCCACAAGATTGTGCTATTCTCCATATTTTCTTCTATTTTTGAAAATATTTCCCACTATAAAGATGGGGTTTTCTCAATGAAGTTTTTTACGGTAAAGTTGATATAATTTGAATAACCTGACACATTCGTCCATTTCGGATTCATTTCGATGTATGGGCTTAAAAAACGGGAGTCAAAGCAATATAACTACTTTGTATGTTGACGTAAAACATTTTGCGGAAATCGCAAAAAAGTTCAATTTCTTCAACTTTTTTACGATAAACACGACGCCATTTTAAATCGCACTTTTTATGCGATGTTCGTTCCAACATGAACTACCCTTAACTTATGACATATGTCATAGAAACTAACTAAACGAGTATTGCAACCATACAAATAATTAAAAGGCCAATTTCGATTGCACAGAACAATAAATAAGAATAACAGACCCGACCTGCAAGGTTTGATTTCAATCCTATGAAAAATTTGAATTTTTGTTAAACCCAATGGGTGGGTTCATTATCTGGGAAGCCCAACCTGCACGAATTCCAGCCTAATTACAAGATTACAAGAGCAATGTTTAGGTAAAGGTACTACACTCGCAGAAAGTTCCTTGAAACAATTCTTTCAGATGCCGAAAAAGATTCACTTGACGACTCTCCATTTTTAGAATAAATTCGGCCGAAAATTTTAGCGCGCGTAATTTATGCAATTAACGTCACACTAATTGAACCCTGTAAAGTCCCCATCGATACCTGATACCTGTTATCTCAAGTCCCTAATTCAAGATTCATTCTACAACTCGCCTGCAGCAACATCAGTCACCACCACGTAAGTTTTTATTTAAAGGCCTAATTTCAAAGTGAATATTCTAATATAATGTATTTTGAACAAATGTTCATCTTTTAGAAACTATCATATGTATTTTCATACTCTCATACAATTTTTTTCTACCATATGCTTAATAGTGGTTCGAAGTGCCTTGTAGCGTGAAGGTTCAACCCTCCACTGTTTCAATTATTTCAATTTCACCATTTTGCAAAGCGATTAAACGGCTTACTTAGGTAGTTACTTCCAATTTTAATATTTGTTGAATTCTTTTCAGCATCGGAAGTCTAAGAGAGGTATTAAATGTTATGACAATCATTTTTGAAATTTTAAGCTTACATGCTTTATTCTATAGTTTTCTCGTTAGCTAGTAACAAAAAATTCATTTAAAAACTAGATTAGAACTAATAAATGAGTTTTATTTACAAAAATGAGATGAGCACTTTCAACTACGTATTTCGTCTACGTATCAAACTACTTGGAAAACGGAGTTAGTGATTTTTTTCACAGAAACAGTTACAAAATAGTCATTGAATAATTAAACATCAACACACGATTTACTAAAAAGTTAGTTAGTTCTCTGTGGGTACACTATTGAATTAATGACTTTATTCAATCAGTAATGAATACAACCCCAGAAATACTATTACTTCAATATCACTCGATGATTATTTCACTTGTATGTACTTACTATCATTTACTATCGCTGTCATGACTCTTGAGGCATTGAAACTGAATGAATAAACTCCCTACTGGTCCGTGGTTTTTAATTTTTCTATGCTTCTCTGCAAGGGCGGATCTAGGCAAATTCTCCTTGGGGGGATCATACTCATGCTAAGTCTGAGCGCTTGGGATTGGCGCCACCATCGTGCCGCTTGCGTCACTTTTTACTTGAATGGGACACTTTCATAAATGTATTGAATTTTTGCCAAAACAAGTAGAAAAAATTCAAGATTAGATGAGAATTTCAGGTTTTTAATTTATAAAATGGTTATGAAAATGTCTCATGATGACAAACATCAATTGAAATTAAATTACATTAGTAAAAAAAACATTTTTATGAACAATAATACACTTGAAAGTTGTCATATTTGTCAAATGTCATTTACATTATATTTCTTATAAATATTTATTCAATGCCAAAGATAGTGTTGTGAATATTCAAAAGTCTAATAACTTGGCAAAAAAATACTTACTTATCACTTTTTGCAACTTTATTTTATGGACGAATTCTAGCGCTCTGACTGGTTAATTTTGTTTTTCATTTACCCGAAACAAACTTTTTCAAGGTTCTTAATAAATTCTTATGGTTAGCTGCTACATTTCCACCACAACAGAGCCATTTTGTTTATGAAATTCTTGTATGTAGGAAATATTGTCAGGGGAGATCAGTTTTTTGAATTTCCATTCCAGTAAAATATTCTTTTCCAGGGGCGGCTTTAGCCCATAAAGTGCCTGTGTTCAATTAATACCGTGGGGCTCTTTTGTATCAAAACCCGCAGGCAAAATGGAATAGGTTCCTACAATACGCTCGACTGAAAACCGAATCTCGCTGGAAAGCGTTGCAGTAAGCTCAATATTGTTGTTTTGTCAAGAAATTAGTTACAGTGAACATGGTGACAAAAGCAACCAATTCAAATCTGTCAAAAACTTTTTCTTGCCGGGAAGTTTGAAAATTGTTGTGAAAACATTTGACGTTTTTTAACAGATTGGCCTGTCGTCGTCATAACACGAGTGAAAATTATTTTTCAAGAAAGAAGGTGCTACAAATAAAAAAGGACAACTTTGAAGTTATTTAAAAACGAATGATCACAGGATGATCGTAGTAGTATGTGATTACAATAAAGTTACTTTTCGTGCTTTTGCGTTAGCAAAATCTGTGACAATTTCACTGACTTCAATTCTTATATCAGGTAACTATGTATATATCCAGTTTACATTTTACTTTGGTTGTATTATTTCCTTGTACTCGTATACTTTGATTAAGCGTTATTATTTAACTCTGTCCTCACTCAATATTTGCTAATTTTCACAGTTTGGTATTTATTTCTTTGTTATTTATTCAGATTGGGGAAAAAGTTTCATGTCGCAAATAAAATCCCATCAATCATCTCTACTAATCAGTCGTGAATTTAAGTGCGTAATTTATTTATCCAAGGTCACACGAATTGAGAACCATGTGAATACCTCAGCGTTATCTGATATCCGTTATCATAGGTCTTCATAACTAACAAGTAATTTTTCAAATTCAATATTTGATCATAATCTCTCTCTCTTTCTCAAATTTTATGACGTTGCTTCTCATTCGAGCGCATTTGGCCGTACTCTTTCGATCCATAGTGAACAGAAGCTACGTCCGGGGGCACAGCTTTCTTGCTTGACGCCTGCCATCTTGAGTTTTCTCATTTACTTTTTCTTGTATAAAAACAATTCATTTTTCTACTATGGGGCCAGTCTTCTCAAATTGACTTTTACAAATAACACATCTATTATCCCACTGACAACCTCGTTGTAGGGGGCCGCTACATAAAACTAATAAAACAAATCAACAAGGGAAACCGCATGGACATTTGGGAATATATTCACATATATACACATATACACAAATTTAGTGAACATTTTACACCATTCAGACAATTTAATCTAAACAAAATTACGCCAACTATGAATTTGATTGTTTGTGAGATTATCAATTAAAAAATCTTGGTAATTGTAATAGCATCTTTCTAATAGCATAGTTTTAACACAATCTTGAAATACTTTGTCACTTTTGATTATTTTTACTACATTTGGCAGCTTATTGAATCACGTAATGGCATTATACTGAGGGGATTTTTCTAGCTTGTCATGAGATTATTATATTATGCCTGTGTTCTGAAACAGTATTATCATATAATTTTTGGTTTTGCCTAACATTCGCCATGTATCAAGTTGGGAGTTGGGAATGTTTCGAAATATAATAGTAATATTCTCGAATTTCTCTAGTTCAGACTTCCATTGTCTACTATATAAAATGATTTGAAATCCCTGAAACAAGTAAAAAAGAATAATTAAAAATGAATAGCTGAAAATAACAATTATATTAAGCAAAAATAAACCTGAAATGAAATAATAGTGAAATGACCTACAAGTAAAAATATAACAATTGAATAAATAAAAATAATATTTTACTTTCCTTAATACAACCATTTCAAGAAAAAACATCGTATTTTGTGAAGAATTCAAGGCCTTTTGTCGAACTACTAGGGTCAATAGAGGTTACACAGGATGATCAACTAATTAGTTTCGACGTGGAAAGCCTTTACACCAACGTTCCGGTCGAAGAAGCACTCCAAATCATTTTTTTCATTCCTTTATTTTTATTGAGTCAATTGTTATATTTTTACTTGTGGGTTATTTCACTATTATTTCATTTCAGGTTTATTTTTGCTAATATAATTGTTATTTTCAGCTATTCATTTTTAATTATTCTTTTTTACTTGTTTCAGGGATTTCAAATCACTTTATATAGTAGACAATGGAAGTCTGAACTAGTGAAATTCATCATGAAACATTGTCAATCACCTTTAAACAAAAGTAATATTCTCATTTGATTTTTTTCAGTTTCGAAAAATGTCCAACAGAAGAAACAAAAACGATGATGCTACTCTGGCTTTGATGATTGGTGCCGGACTTGTAGGAATAGCAGGAATCGCGACTTTGGCAGTTGGAGCTGCATTGAATGATAGAGACGATTCTGAAGATGACAGAAGACGCAGATCAAGTTCGTCAGGTCCGTCATTTTCGGAAGTGTTGGATGGAATTGTAACAGTAGCCGGGGCCGTTGCTACTACTGCAAATGCACTGAACAATGTTATCGGCCAACCTAGTTCGTCTAGACCTAGGAGGGGAATATCAATTAGCGAAATCAATGAACCAGAAACAGAAGAAAGGTAGTTTACCTTGTATACTGTTTTCAGTTGAAAAATTTTCATGCAAATCAGATGACCAATATGATTTGCTTGATGCTACATTTGGTGCCTTTCTCAAATAGCATCAGATACCGTCTCCAGTTGATTTTAGAGTATGTGATTCATTTTACAGTATTTTGCAACAAGTTCACTTATTGAGTTTAAAGAATAACTATCGGCATCATACTAATTCATAAGGCACCACCATCTTTCATCAAGTTTTGAACACCTATATCTAGCTTACAAAACTTTCTGAAACGAAAGCACACCTCCCAGTTTACCTGAGGTCGCTCTCAGCATTTGGTTCAAAAAGAACTGACCTCAAAGGTGAGAGATCTTTGATGGTTTTTGATATTGTAGAAAAAATTGTATAAAGGGGTGTTCACTAAATACTATCATTCCGCCCAAATTCCATAAGTCAACCAAATCGAATATTTCTCGAATCGCCAGTATCATTGCAGGATAGCTTCCCAAATTTCTGCTACCGCAGTTGTCGGTTGATTGACCAAACCACTAACATTGACAAAATCTTAGCAAGTTGACTTGGGTGTCACACCAATTGGTTGTTCCACTTATGTATCGCTTGCGTTTACGCAGTTATTTTTATCAAGTACCTTTTTGGTTTTTCACATTTTGTATTCAATCGAGAACCGTCTACCCGGTACTGACGATGCCAAACAGGCTGAAACCGGTGACTCCTAAATTGAAATTAATATGTGAATGATCAGAATGGTAGTTATCTATTAATTCTGATTTTCATGGAATCATTTTCAAGCAGCTTGACTGCATTATGTTTCAGTCGTCGATGTTTCCACTCACTCTATGAATGGATGCATGATTGATTGTCCTCGTATCTTATCAGTGGATTATTGTTCGATATTCCAAAATCGATCAGCACATTTTTTCGACCCTTCTAATTCGGTACAGGAGATAAATAAGGAAAATAACATATACTACAGTTAATGGAATGAAGCCCTGGATTGAAATTACCCTCTCTATATCTCAATGCCACTGTTGCCAATATATGATATTGAACCGAGTGTACATTGAACATCTTCCCTTTAAAGATCAAACCTCATATCATACCGACTGCGCCATGTTCAGATATATAGTTGGATACTTTTGAATAATCGCACTATTGATAGTTTTATTTTTCATTATGGATTATGAATTGACTGACTCGTTACTTGATCCATAAACCTCACGATGACAAAAATTAATAACAAACACAATTTCACAATTTACCATGAACCAATCCATAGAGACAGAGTTATAAACAACTATCATAATCACCCACAGCAACATAAATCAACAGCTTACGAAAGTATGATTCACAGACTCACTATAACATACCAATGTCCAAAGAGAGTTTTAATGAAGAATTAAATCTGATTAAACAAATTGCAGTTAATAACAACTTCAACCCTAATGTACTTCGATTAAAAACGTACTGTCACCTCCAAGACATTAAATGAACAAAAAAATTGTTATATCAAAATGGGCAACGTACCGCACGCCTACCGGCACATACAGATATTATCATTCATAATTCGTCCACTCACCCATATCAACAAAAGGTAGCAGCTTTCAACAGTATGATCCACAGACTGATAAAATGTCAGAGGTGAATTTCAATAAAGAACTGAATATAATAAAGCAAATAGCCGTCAACAATGATTACGATAGCGGTCTAATAAATTCTCTATTATCAAAAAAGTTATTCAGTCAAGCTTTGAAGGAAGTTTACCCAATTCGAAGAGAAGAGGATAAATGTTGTAGAACCTTAACCCACTTAGGCCAACCCACTACAAATATTTCAGATTTTCTGTAAAGTTGTTTTAAAACCAACAACTTAGGCATGCACTTTAAGAATAAGGAAGATAGAAGTTCAGTTTCAGAAAAATCAGGAGTGTATAAATTATCGTGTGAGTCATGTCCGATGTTTTATATAGGTCAAACTGGAGGAGCTTTCAAAACCCGCATAAAGGAACACAGTTATAGTTTCCAGAATGGAAAAATAAATTCCACATATGCCAGTCATCTAATCTCAGAGGAACATGAGTTCAACCATGAATACAAGCCCCTCCATTTCCAGAAGAAATGTTTGAAACTTAACCTGTTGGAGAGTATGGAAATGAACAAATTCAAAAACTCTCAACATCTTCTGAACGATCAAACGGAATTGAATAATTCGCCATTATTGAATCTGTTCATTGGCAGGTAAAAATGATTAGGTATATTTACAGGTATACTTTCGAAAAATTTATTGATATAGTTAATGAATTCAGAATGAATAATGAATCAGGTTGATTCATTATTTAGGCAGACGTGTAGGTAATAGGTTAGAGTATAAAATGGTTGGAATTTAGAAGTAACTCTCAGTTTATGCTTGAGGAAGCTATTGTATAGCTTTTTGTAAAACCCTTTATAGTGAAAATCATTCAATAAACTGTATTAATTACTTTTTTAACATGAATAATGCCTTCGTTGTCCTAGCCCAATGGCTTTACAACAGGCATCTTCCCTCTGTCTAGCGCCACCATTGTCAAGGGAACCCCTACTCCTCCGAGCTCTCCCCCCGTACCATTGGCACATAACGTCGGCCATAAGGAGGGACGAATCAGTGGGGTAGAAGACCGATTTTCTCTATTTCCCAAATAATACACTACAACATATACATACACTCATTCATAACATAATGTCCAACCAAACTAAAACAACAATTCTCTCTTTAAACCATAGTTGATAAATAAACAAACATAAAAAAATTACATTCAATAAGCCCAACCCATTTACCCCAATGAACAGCACACAATGTTTAATATATAATGTATCGTATTTCCAATGAAAAATACTTTGAAAATATTTACAAGTAATCAGTGCTTTTTTGTAGGCAAACACAATGCAAAATATGTTATCGTCAACTGTTTCTGCAGCCTATAGAAGAATTGAGATGCAAACATAAGTTTCATTCAACGTGCATCAGAAAGTGGATGAACGATAACTACGAATGCCCTGTATGTGGAAGAAAAGCCAGATTGGCATAAGCTGAATTTGAGGGTGTTGCTTCAAATTCAATATATTTATCTGTTCAGAATAATTTAAGTATTATTATTCATTAGGGGGCCAATATTTTTGTAATACTGGATGTTCTACCAAATACTGAATCGATCTGTATATGGAAAACTATACGTGGAGAAATTTTGAAAATTAAAAAACCTAATAATGTGAACGGTGGTAATCCGTTTGTGCAGATTTTGTGTATTAAATATATATCCGCGTTTTCAACATATTTGAGGTTTTATGTCAAAAATGACGTTTGCAAACCCCTAAAATAATAACTGACAGCGTGCATATTGGCATTTGGCACTAAGATAAAATTATAACATTCGAAAGTTCACATTCAAAACAAAAATATATTTTTTTTTCCTCAATTTTATTTTCAATCCAACTTCTTAAATACCCATGTATTCTGCAGAATTTCTAAAATAATCCAATTTATAGTTTTCCCTATACAGTGCACATGTGAAAAGTTCCCTCCACCTCTTCATTTTTGAACCGGATAAAGGTCGAACTTTCAATACTTTCCAATGAAAAAAATATTGTTGTATCACTTGTCCCTGAGGGGACACTATTCACCTTTTTCAAACATTCTCATGAAAACTTCTCCTGACAATAATGAAGCCTGTTTACAAATTTAAGTTCTTAGTGCTTGTGGGGTAATTTCGTTGAAGTTCTTTAAAACTCAGGATTAGACTATAGTTGTATGATTTTACAAATTTCCACAAAAAATCCAAGGGCTATATATCTGGTTATCTAGCGGGTCATTTTAAGGACCACATCGACCTACCACTGGTCTGAATAATTGTCATCTAACCACTCTCCCACCAGCCTGTCATAAGTAGGAAATATAATATCAGTTTAAAACTCATTTGGGCTTGTCAGTTATCAAAACCAATAAGTAGACAAAGATGATCCCTTAGAATGGCCCGCTAGTTCACCTGTTATGAGTGCGTTGATTTTTTTTAGATGAATAGACTAAGAAGTACTTGCGAAATAACCCCAGTAACATATAATGTAAAAAATCGAATTCATATACAGACTTATTGAAAGGAAGTGAAAAATAAAAATTTAGAACACTTATTGGAATGAATAGGAGTGAGTTTTGAATGTAATTTTTATTAAATGCATGATATATTTTGTTTGTTTGCAGATTTAAATATAAAACTGCCAATTAATCAAAAACGATTTGTCAGATTTTCAAAATCTGAACAGTGTTGCCTCGTTCAAAAGTTGGGCGGAGATGGACAGTTTACGTCCGACTTATTTTACCTAACACATAGTTGTTTTTAATTTCCAAATCAATTACCAAATGACAATTTTATTTAATATTTGAAATATTTGGTTTTGTCACTTTCATTTTCAACTTTTTGTCCCAATAGTTGAAGTTTGCCTGTTATAGCTCATTGTGAAAAAAAATTGTTTCATTTTTGTCCATTGAAAAGATGTAAAACGGATTTTTTTTTGATAAATGATAAATGAACGAATATCAATAGGTAGAACAAATATCTTCAACAATATACATGTGTCAACGCTATTTTCGGGGTTTGTTGACCGTGGTCTGCAGGTTACATATACATATGTACTTAAGTTTATGGTGTATAGCAATGTAATGGGGAACTTTATTCATATATAAATATAATAACTTACTTATCAAACTTATTGTTAATTTCTATGGTAAATGAATAAATGTTGCAGAACATATTTTTAATCATTGTGACTAACAAATTCAAAATAATTAATACAGTCTATTGTACGATTTTTATATAAAGGGCTTTACAAAAACCGCGACACGTGTTTCGCTATACAATAACCTTCTCAAAGGTAAACTGAAAGTTACTTCTAAAGTACAAGTATTTTACACTCTAACATATTATCTACTTGTATGCCTACTTTCTCATTAATGAATTTACCTGAGGATGTACTTGTGATTCAACACCAGAAATCGCTGTTTCAACCAAGGTCTCATCAGCGGTGCTCAATTGTCCTAAAAAGAAGCCTGAAAGTAAAGGTGATGAAAACTCCTCCTACGAAGACGCCATCTATGGGATTGAAAGGAAACTCAATATCAAAGATAAATGAGGCTCCCCAAGGCAGTAAGTCACATAGCCAATCTTATCGACAATGACCACCGACCGACATTCGTTTTCTGTCTTGTTCTTTTTAGGACAGTGGTTCAGCCTAGCACCACTGATGAGACCTTGGCGAATCGAAACATCGCTGTCTGGTGCTGGATCACAAGTATATCTAGTTGTCTTGCAGTGAAACCAACAGTGGAAGACAGAAAACGATTCTCGTTCAGCCATCAATATCAAAGCTTGGCTTTGCAACTTGCCGCCTGCGGGAGCCTCGTTAATCTTTTGATAATCTGTTTATCCCATAGATGACGTCTTTCTAGGGGGAGACGTCATCACTTTTACTGATCATTTATAAGAAAATGTTCCATTCGGAAAAAAATCAATATGACAGGACTTTAGATTACGAAGTACACTAAGTAGGTGTTGGTTGTTTGATTGGCCTGAAGGTTCTATGAAATTTCATTGTGGAGGGTAGATCGAGCCTTTGGAAAAGAAATATTTGTTGAGTGGATTGAAGTTGGTGAGATGTCATAAGAATGATGTGGCAAGTAGTGTAGATAAAGCTTCTCATAATTATATGAGAAGCTTCATTTCACAGACATGACCTCTACACGAATTTAAGAGATTCAAATTTTCCATGATCCACAGAGCACGTTCAAAAATTTTAAAAACTTCATCCAACTCTCAACTTCTGCCAAAATGATAATATTGTTACGTTTTTCCCGTGGGTTTGACAATAATTGATTACACTAAACACGATACTCAAATTTATTTCACTACTATACTGCCAATACAACACAAAAACTTCAACTGAACTTCATACTAATTCTCAAATATCTATCGCCTTATTAGCTCACTTCGTACTGCACTTTAAACTAGACTGATTCAACTGCTTGTTGGTAGTGTTTATATATCCCAATGGAAGTCTTCGGAAGCCGATAGGAGTATTCTCGAAGTGAAACATCTAGAACGTCTAGGAACACAACTAGAGCTGAGCGCGACCTTGGACAAGTCATACTCGATTGACAAACACCAGCGGCGGTCGGCGTTATTTTTTTTCGGGGGATAATTTACAAAAATATCATATCGGGCATGAGAGTACAAATTAGCAAAATAAAATGTTTTAGCAATCAAGATATTGGCGCTTCCGTAAGGAATCCTCAGACAGTAACACGTTTGACTGAGTTTCTGAACTGAAGAATAATTTATTTCATCGATAAATGTCCCAAGACATTTTATATATCGTAGAAAAGATTTTGTTTTCGTTCAAAGTTTCATAGTGCTACGAAAAAAAAATTAATTTGTTTCAACAGATGCAGTCCCGGGCGTGTTCCAATTTTTCTGAAGGATCGTTTAAAAGTCTCTACATAACTTTCCGCTTAACAATTTGACTGTGGCTAACTGAAATGTTTGTTGCATTGACTTTCGTCACCTGTGAAGATAATAATAACCTGATATAGAAAATCTCTCAAAAATTTCGTCTAGCTATCGACACTGTCTTAGCTATCAAAGTGCTTTGGAAATTGTAGTGAAGTATTTTCGTAATAGTCAATGCCTTGGGCTGTTGCTAGTTATTTTTTTCTCAAATTCTCAAGTAAGCCCAACAAACGAAAATCTCCTCAGAGATCTGAAATGACCCACTGACGTTCTGACGTTCGCTGTCAGTTTACTACCTATAACAAAAAATGAAGTTGCCCGATATACTGGTAGTGTGCTTACTCTTCCTCTTATACGAAATCGCACCAGAAGAATACGATGTCACCGAAAATAACTTTGATTCCTGGATTAAAGAACAGAGAATTGTCTTTGTCATGTTTTTCATTTCTTGGTCAGAAGAATATAAATTGATGTATGCAGAGTACCAGAAATCAAGCGCCATTTTGGACAGAAACAACTCCATATTGACCCTTCTGAAAGTCAACTGCTCTGCACCAGAGTGCGAAGAGACTTGCCTGAGATTCAGAGTAAACGAAAATACAATACTGAAGGTTTTCCGATACGGTGAGTATTCTGAAACTTACAGGGGTAGGGCAACAGCCCTGGATATCGCCAAATTTCTACAGTCCCACCTCAATCCGGCTTCAACGGAACTTGAAACGACTAACGACCTGAATGACTTCCTGTATGCTGAAAACAAAACTGCGGTGGTGGGAATGTTCAATGGAGAATCGGCTTTGAAATTAGCTTTCTTGAACGTCGCCGACAGATACAGGAACAAAGTCAGATACGCTCACACGAAATCAGCAGATATTCGGAAGGTTCTGGAAGTCAATAACGACATCTTGATGTTTCGACCACTCTACCTCCACAACAAATACGAACCTAGTATCTTGCAATACACCGGGGAGGCAGATCCAACAACTATCAAGCAATTCATCAAGGAATACCCTCACGGGCTTGTTGGGAGAAGGACCCAGGACAACGTTGAAGACTTCGAATATCCATTGGTCGTGGTCTACTTCGACATAGACTTCGAAACCTTTCCGCAAACTACGCAGTACTGGAGGAATAGAATCTTGAAAGTTGCTGACATGTTCAGAGAGAACGTGACGTTCGCTATGAGCAACGCTGAAGACTTCCAGGAAGAACTGGCCGATCTTGATTACCTCGACAAGCCTGTGGTGATAGCAAAAGACGGTACAACGAATAAGTACGTGCTTGTGGGAGAATTTTCCTCATACAACTTCGAGAATTTTGTCGGGGACTTCCTTGGGAACAGTTTGAAGCCTTTCTTTTCGAAAACGGAGCCTATTCCCGCATTTAACAACGAATCGGTGAAAATTGCAGTGGCACAGAACTTCAAATCATTGGTGGTTGATAGCGAAAAGGACACTATAATTAGCTTCCATTCCAAATGGTGTACTCTTTGCAAGAAATTGGCTTCCTTATACGTAAGCCTGGCAAAATCATTTAGCAGCGAAGACATCGTATTCGTGGCAATGGACGCTTACAAGAACGATGTTCCTGAGGAGTACAAAGTCGAAGAGCTTTATACTCCAACCATGTACTGGGCCCCCATTGGGTCTAAGCAGAAGCCATTCCGGTACAGGGTGAGTGTTTCGAATGAAATATGTTGGGTCTGATAATTGAACGTAAGATGTTTCAGGGTAAACTAGAGAAAAAAGATTTGATCAGATTCATTGCCAAGTATGCCACCTATGAATTGAAAGGGTACGATAGGGAAGGTAAACCAAAGAAGGTGGTTAGGACGGAATTGTGACCAATGACGAGGAAGCTTTGTATTTAATTTCTTTGCATTGATGATCAATGGGTGTTATTGATCCTGACATTTTCATTTCAAAATATAAAATCATACGTTCTATGTATACAGTTAGTATTTTTTAACATTTTGGATTCCAATGAAACACTTCGTTAGGTAACGTATTCAAAAAAACACTTAATTGTGAGATTTTTACTGAACAATTTTACAAACACGCAACACGTGTTTCGCCATACAATGGTGTGTCTTTACTAACTATATTCTACATATTCAATGCTTAATATACCTAGTTTTACAATTTGAAATACCTAAATTTCAAATACCTGATTTTACCTCAGTTTGTAATGAATTAAATTACCTGAGATTATGTCCCAGTTTCCACATTTGAAAAAATATTCAGTAACGGGAGTTATTCAATTCTAATTGATCATTCAGTAAATTACCCGAATTCCTGAATCTACTGATTTCTAAACATTCTAGAAGATTGAGTTTCAAACTCTTCTCTCCTAAATGTAACACATCGTATTCATGATTGAACTCATTCTGCTAAAACGTGATTTGCAAATGTGGAATTGGTCTTTTTATTTACAAAACTACTTCTATTCTCTTTAATTCTTTGGAAAAATGTTCTCCCTGTTTGGCCGATATGCAGTTTTGCGCAAGAGCCACAAGTCTGCTGCGCAACCTCTGCTGCAGGAAACAAGTGATGCAATTGAACCCAGGTTTGTGTTTAATAAACCCCACAAAATACAAATTAAGCAGAACACAGAGTCAGATGCTACATCTATACAGACGGCTCAAAAACCAAAGAAGGCTCAGGATATGGAGTGTACTCCAGATCACTAAGCCTAAGGATCAAGTGGGGAATGGGAAAAAATACCAGCGTGGTCCAAACAGAACTGGCTGGTATCTCAATCGCCACAAAAGAAATAACCAAGAAAGGAATTTCTGGCAAATACATAATAATCTGCACTGACAGCAGACAAGCCCTATTAGCCTTGAACAGACAACGTATAACCTCAGGGCTAGTACTAGAGTGCCACCAAGATTTAGCCAAAACCTTGGTAGATAATAACATCCTGAGGTGGGTAAAACGGCACGACAGGAGTAAAGGTAATCGCATTGCCGACTCTTTAAGCAAGGAAGCGGCTGGACTAAGAATTTTAGGACCCAGTGGCACCTACGGCCTGATGACTTCAACAATTTCGGAACTAGTCAAATGTTACATCCATGCTGAATCCTTAAAGAGATGGGATGGAATCAAAGGATGTACTCTTGCCAGGATCACCTTGGGCGACCCTGGGAAGCTGGAGCCGAAGAAATATCTGGCGATGACCAGGAAAAATCTACGCCTAACAGTAGGATTTCTGACTGGCCACTGTCAACTAAGGAAACATCTCCATAATATGGAACTAGTGGACACACCTCTATGCAGGATGTGTGAACAGGAAGATGAGACTGTCAGGCATGTCCTGTGCGAGTGCCCGGAGTTATCGTCATTAAGAGAGTGTGTGTTCGGCGAGTCTTGGCCTACACCTGCCGATATAAAGGAGATGTCTCCCAGTGACCTGTCCACCTTCCTGGAAAGGACAGGAAGGACGATGACCTAGGAGAACAACTCCTCGGGAGGATGTACAATAGGTCATATGTGGCCTCCCTAGGCATAAGCTGATTAATAACTTAAACATCCAACCCATTAAAGGTACAAGTAACAAACCGATTTTCACAATAGAAAACAGATTCAACAGGAAAGATGAATTCAATTATATTTGGTCACTCAGTAAATATAACGAATTCTTAAATTAATTAATTTCCAAATATTGCAAAAGATTGAGTTTCAAACTTTCCTCTCCAAATTTAATACGCCATGGTCGTGGTTAAATTCCTGCCGCCTGTTAAAATATGGTTTGCAAATGTGAAATTAGTTTTCACATTCAAGAAACTACTCATATATTCTTTTATTCTCTGGAAAAATGTCCTTCCTGTTTGGCTAATATAAAAATTTCGATGAGAACCACAAGTCGACTTTCATATCCCTGATACATCCGAGACGCCTGAGGAAGCTACTGAATAGTGAAACAGGTGTTGCGGTTTTATGAACTGTTCAGTGGAAATCTTATAGTAAAGTGCTACTTGAACCTGTCAAAGTTATTATGGTTCCATGGAGGAATGTCAGTAATATATTATTTTTGAAAGAACAAAAGATCGATTAGCTGGAATAAATATACTTTGGCCTAGAAACAACAGTATCTAAGAGTTTCCAAACATCGGGAAACTTCATTTTGACATTCAAGGTCGTCCTTACTCCACGGCCACACCTATCGAGCATCCCCCCTCTTTGCCGCCCGCACAAACTCCGAGGCCACCTCTGGAAACTGTTTTCCCGTCAGTTTTTCCTCGATTCGCGTCAAGATACCCCGACGGCAGTGATTTTCACGGTTTCGTTCGTGATATCGCATGTTGGGCCCCTCGCTCTCGACATCCTAAAGGTCGATAAACCTCGCGTTGTTTTGCATTTCCCATCTAGCAGGCGTACGGAGGTGAGTTTCTGATGTTTTATTCGTTTGTTATGGACTCCGCGATGTTCCCGGACGGGCAAATCGAGTTAACGGCTGATAAACGGTGTTAGATGTTACGGGGGGTGGTTTGTCGTTTCTACGGATGATTTTATGTTGCTCCCTACGAAGAAACACAATTTATAATTATTTTACAGAGGCAAAAAAGAATTAACTCAGTACAGTAGAACAAAAGTACCCTTAATGGCGGACTTCGGAGTTTCGAAACAAGACATTTGTTTTATCACCTCATCAGCACTGTTTTGGATAACATTACCAAACGAAGCACTTAAATTTTTCATATCATTAAGACTTCACGTCACGAATGAGTTGAATCTACCCATGTCACAATGACAGTACGTAAAGACATTCATACGGTTATTTGATTCAATCCTAGCCATAGGAGTTTCTCCTGAAAAATATACCCCTCTCAATTAAATTTTATACTATTCCTCAGTATATTAGGTAATTATAAGTATGGAAAGTATTGTGTGTATGTGCATTGGGCTGGTATCTGTGAATTAATGAATAAAATAAATTGAAATGAAATGAAAAAAAATTAATGTTTTACTCTCAAATCTTTTGGAAAAGAAGTTTCAAATAAATTCGAATAAATATTTGTTGATCTCAACAAGATCTATGAAAGAGTAATTATGATTTTTCCCAGAGGGGTGACATTTCAGGCATTATTTCAGTAAATGGGCAAAACATAATATAAGGGTTGAGGAGACAGGCCAGAGCTTCACATCGTTAACTTACTTGTAGTGTGGACAAATTTGTATATTTTTCTTTTCTTTTGTATCATTTGGAGAAAATTCAAAAGTGAGGTATTTTTTAGGGTTAAAGGGAAGAACAATTCGATTGTTGAATTTATTCAGGAACTGAACTGAACTTCGCCCTTTATTTTCGAAAATATTCTGTTAATATATATTTCCTCAATCCTGATTTTTTTATATTTTTTTTGAAAATAATGGAGACGATTATTATTTTTTTTACAGTATGCGCTGGCCGGTAGGTACCTATCCCCCGAAGCCCCGATACATCAATCCCCACAACGGATTCAATATCCCCCGGAGCGTAGGGTAACACCGGTGTCTCGTCAATACCGTAAGAGTCCCGTAGATAGTAATATAGTACTCTTAGGGCCGCGTTATGTCGATGGATATAGGCCGAGACCGCATATGCTGGGCATGCTGATAGCAAGTGCATTAGAGTCTCGGGCGCCTCGCGGCAGGCCCTGCACCTTGTGTAAGGAACCTCTATACCCATCACGCGATTGCGGTAGACTAAGGTGTTGAAGACCATCCTGGCAAGCCATAATGAACCCCTCAGTTTCTGACTTTAGCCCACTCAACCTGAGGAAAGCGAAAGTCAGGCGCTTTGATAAGCCAAGGTCTACAATGTTATTGAAGAAGACGATTATTATTAATATTTTGGGACATAATTCAAATATTTTCTGGATTTTTGTTTTCTACAACCGTTTCAGGGAAAACATTATTGTTCAACTTCCTAATATTATATACTGAAACACAAATTTTTTTTCGGTAAATACCATAGTTCAGTAAATAGTAAATTATTTGAGACTACTAGTTTTACAAAAGGAAACAAAAATGTTTATACACTTTTTCAATATTTTCAGTTATTGGGAAGATATAGAAAAAAATTCGCAAAATTATCGGGAAAATAACTTCAGTTTTTCATATCCGCTGATTTGATAGACAGATAGATAGATAGAATTTCAATTTTTTTTCTATCGTTATGCAAAATTTTCCTGTAGCATTTGGAGCGACAAACAGACAAACCATGGATATGCAAAGATGAAAAAATAACATAAGGTCGATTGGAGATCACAGAAAATAATCATTGAGAAAAAATATCCAAAATTTCGATCTGGTCAAGATACTGGACCATCTTTTTAAAAACGGTAGTATTTCAGCTTCTGAAAAAATTATTTTGTATAATAATTTGTATGAACGCATTGCATCAAAAAATTATTTTTTGTTTTATTTTCAGTTAAATAATACTGGAGTCTGATAAATAATAATTTTTGATGATTTATTCCAAATTTCATTTACTTTCTTTGTGTAAAAATATATCATATTATATCGTATTACACCACGGTATACAAAGAAAAATAAATATTATTTCATCAGTTCGGACTTTCATTGTCTAATATAATATAAATTGATTTGAAAATCCTGGAAAAAAAAGCAATTAAAAAATTGATAAGATTAACCGAAAATAACAATTTTATTGAACAAAAAACTGAAATTACAAAGAAATAACATACAAGCAACAATTTTAAATTGTTTGGTTGTTTATTAAACAAAAAACTGAAATTACAAAGAAATAACATACAAGCAACAATTTTTAATTGTTTGGTTGTTTTTTTAATTATTTGGTTGTTGCTTGTATGTTATTTCTTTGTAATTTCAGTTTTTTGTTCAATATATTCGTTATTTTTCGGGTAATCATTTTAATCTTATTAATTTTTTAATTGTTTTTTTCAGGGTTTTCAAATCAATTTATATTATATTAGACAATGGAAGTC